TTCCTGCTCTGGGCAGCTGCCTTGTGGACCACCTTCATGGCTTTCATGGGGGCAGCAGGCTTCTTGAAGACCATGGCTTTGGGCATGGTGCAGGCGGAGGAAGCTCTTGGGAAGAAGTGGCTGGATCAAGCAGACAATTACAGACATGGTATAGCCATGGTGGCAGGCTAGAAAGCAGAATCGGTGCTGGGACAGCCACAGGAGGCTTGCTCAAGTCACCTGGATCCAAGAAGGTGCTTCTTTTTGCCGCAACAGCCTGGTCCCTGCAGCTCTGCAAAACTTGGAACCCTCAAAACTCCTGCAGCTCTGCATGGTGCAAGGATGGATCCCATGTGCATGGCCCATAGAGGCTGGGTCAGCCCTTCCTGGGCTTTTTCTTGGCTGAAGCCGACGTGGCTGCTTCCTCCTCGACCTTCTGCAAGATTTGCTCATTGGCTTGGATCTTCGCAGGGTTATGGAGGATGGGCACGGTGCATGGCCCCTGCTTGATCGTAGTCAAGACCATGTTGCCCTCATCCTCGCCCTCTGCTGTCCTGCACCAGAAAAATGGCACGATGGTGCCCTCTGCCTGGAACTGGAGGTCCTGCTTCCAGCTTCCAATGGCCCAGTCATGGCCGAAGGCCTGAATGGCCAGCTTGGGCGGCTTCTGGCCTGTCTTCACTTTGCTGATGGAACCCAATGGAACCAGCTTGAGCTTTTTGCTGGCAATGGCTTTCTTGGCATACAGTGCCTGGGGACTGGAAGCCATGCAAAGGAGTTCCAAGTCCTCGACCGACTGCTCCTGGTAGCATTGGTGGAGTGCCGTGACCACAGCTGCCTTTTGGAAGTCCTCCTGGGCCATGGCATGGCTGGATGGGAGTCCCCTGGTTATGATGTCGGCTGGGCCGATGGCTGGCATGGAGTGGCGGGAGACCCGCCACTTCCCCAGCCCCGCCAGCGGCACAAAAACTGTCTCCGGTGCCTGGAGCACTGGCCTGTGCTCCATGGTCCCACCCTCGTTGCTGATTTGCAGGAGCTGGTAGACCTTGGCTCCGTGCTCCTTTGGCAAGGTGTACCTTGGTTTGTGTATGGAATGTATCTACAGCAGAATCTTATGAGGGAACAGACATTAAAACAGCAAAACTCCTATGTGCAATCATGGGCACTGGTCGCCCACCTTGATGTGGGTGTTCTGGAGCAAGGTGGCTTCCCATGGCTGGGCAGAGACTGCATCCTTGATGGTCTTTGCCTCTGCAGCTGGGGTGGCCTGCTTGACCTTGGAAACGTCCTGGGTGAAAAGGTCGAGAATCTGGGCCAGGGACTCCAGCTTCTGCTGGGCATCAGGGCCAAGCTTTTCCTTTTTGGTCAGAAACAAGATGGCTCTGACGCAAAACTTGCCGAAACACTTGTAGAGATGGTTGCTGCCGGCATTGGTGCTGGTGCCTTCTGGAAGCTGGCTCTGGACCAGTTTCCAGGAATCCGAAAGCATGGACTCCGCCGTCCTGACGGACTCCATGTTCTGTGGCGACGACAGTCTCTGGACGTCGGCTCTGGTGAGGAGTCGTGCGAAGCCGTCTTGCTGTTTGGTGGATGTGCACTGGGTTGCCCATAGAGCTGTGCGGAGCAATGGGTAAAGGTTGCCAGGGTCTGGGAAGGTGGTGTGCGACAACGCCTCCATGAAATCCTGGCCCATCATGCACGTGGTGCCGTAGGTGGAGGAGAAGTGGGAAAGGAATTTCAGCAATGGAAAGCTTGTGCCTCCAGAGTATCTCGAGACATAATGCCCTATGGCTGGGAGGCTCTGCCTGCAGGCAACTTCGCCGCTGGCAACGGACTGGATTGCCGACTCCAGACTGGCTCCCATTTGCACTTGAATGGCTATTTGGCAGGCTGCTTCCAACTCGCTGGTGGCTCTGCCAATGGCATTGCCAGAGTTGGCTCCGACTTGGAAGAACTGTGGAAGGCTTGGCATGGCTTCTTCCACACTGGAGGCCACCACATGCCACCGCCACCCGGTCTGGATGGCGGACCAGACTGGGTCTGTCTTGGGCACGGAGATGGCTTTGCCACTGGGATCCGTGGTCCCATGCTCCAGGCATCTCAAGAATGCCGTGGTGTGGCTGCTGGCAAGGGATAGGTATCCTCAGTGGCCAATGTATGTCTACAATATACATTTATCCGCAAATTGTAAATGGATTGGATATATAGAGAAAAGGAAACCAATTCTATGTGTCATCTGAGTGGCCCTCTGCTCCACTGACTGGGGCCAGGGAGCCCTTGCTCTCCTGGACCAGCTGCTGGTTCCTCCAAACCTGCTGCTGGCGCTTTTGGGGGTCCGTGGACATCTGGAGACAAATGGACCCTTGGAGCAGATGCACTTGCAGGCCAACTGCCAAGAGTTGGTGTCCCTTGGCCCAAACGTCAAAGTGGGACACCATCTGCCCTCCCCGGTTGGAGGGGTGGCAAAGAACTTGGCTTGGAACCAAGGTCTGCTGCTGGCAGAGGCCATGGTGCTCCAGCACCTGCAAGACCTTGGTGACTCTGGTGTTCACTGGCTCGCGGCCATTCACAATGGCCTCCACCTCTTGGACCACAGCTGGAGGGACAGCCATGGCTTCTGGCTTCTGTGCGGCTGTGGCCTTGTCTGGTATATCCTATCTGGAATTCAAGTGTGGCTGTGCCGGGCAACTTCTTTCTGCTCGTCTGGAACTGCTGGATTCTAACCACCTGCATATATATCTGTCGGGTTCAACAGTGGCATGGTTCTGCGACCATGGATATGCATGGATGGCCTATACTGGCTGCAGGCAGACGATAAAGCAAACAAAACTGTATGCATCCCTTCAACACTTGACACTTGCAAAACTGTTCTGCAGCAAGCCTTTTCCTGCGAAGGCCTGGCAGAGTCTGGAAGAGTCACTCCTGGACTGGTCGTGGCTACTACCTGGCTTTCTTCTTGTAGCTTCTTTTGGCCTGGCCGAGGACTTGGGCCGTATCCTCATCATTGCGAATGGTCTTGATGATGGTCTCGATCTGGTGCTGTTCGAGTTGGATGGTGAGATCGCACCTCCTTGGCCTCTTGCCACTCATCAAGCAGGTGACTTTGGAACCATTGATGTCCATGGCAACTTCTTCTTCTTGGTTGTCTGGAAGAGACCTCTTTCTGGTCGACTTCTTTCCTGAGCCTGGCTCTGGAGCATCGAAAAGTTGCTCTGCTGGTGTTGCTGGTTGGTCGAAGCTCTGGTTCCTCTTCTTGATGAGATTGGCCATGGCCGTAGAACCCGACAGACTGGCATTCTTGTCGGGTCTCTGGCCTGTGAGCAACTCAATTATGGGTTGGGAAGTGGGCCGAAGTTGGAGCCACTGCTTGTCCTTGGACAGCTTCACCAGATCCTTGGGGATGAGGATTGGCCTCTCCGACTCGTACTTTATCTGGATGGCCGCACGAATTTCCACCATGCTTGGAAGCTATGGTGGACGTGGAAAGCTGTAGCTGGCACTCGCTATGGCCGGGTGGCTGCAGCAAACATACCATGCAATACAAAGACATGAGCACACTGCTATGGCCGTCTGGCTCCCATGATCACACACATGCAATGCCAAATACAAAAAATCGAACAACAACTCTGATAAATTATTTGCTAAAAGCAAACAACATATATCTCTGGCAGTCCATACTATAATCTTCAAAATCAATGATAACATTCAGCAAAAACTTCGATTCCATTCTAAAACCCATGATTTCTTATCTTATACCTTCAGTGCACTCGACGAATTATGCACCACAAATCAGAATACATGTCATTGAAATATTACATCTCCATGTATGAATTTCGTATTCTTAAAGCCTATATTTCAACATCCATAACTCCATGTAACTCACCCTAACTTTTATAAAAGGTTAAGTTAATTATGTTACTTAGCTAACACAATATTAACTTTAGTAACATAACATAAAAGATATAAGTATTATAGGAACATGTAATCACTTAATAGACGGTTAACACTCACTTATAACAGTTTAATAACTAGGGTACAACTCCACATAACTATGTTAACCACTTATAAAACAACCAGGATTCCAAGTAGGTGTAGGAGGCGCAGCGGCAGGTGAGCGTGCTGCGGCAAGGGCTGCAGGTCCAGACGCGCCAGCGCCTGAGCCACCAGTACCAGCTGCTGTGGAGGAAGCACAAGCTCCTCAAGCCGAAGACGAGGAATGGTCACGTTTTGATGTAGGTAGAGCTTTGCAAGAGCTTCGTTCACGCCAGCCAGGTGTTGTCAGACGTGCTCTTCGTCGTCTGCACTTGCGTTGGTTCCACGCGCCTGCCGCGCGAATGGAGTCTTTGTTGCAAGCCGCCGGCATTTCACGAGAAGTGATTGTTCTCTCTCGGCAAATAGTGGACACGTGTCAAGTGTGTCGTGCTTGGGCCAAGCCTGGTCCTCGTACAGTCACCACCTCTTCTTTGCCCACCAGGTTTAACCAGGTAATACAGTGTGACTTGTTGTTTGTCAAGGACAAGGTAGTACTGCATACCATAGATGTTTGTACTAGGTACACTTCCACCGAACTCGTAGACAACAGACACACAGACACGCTGTTAGAGGCTTTGCAGAAGTCGTGGTTCAAACACTTTGGTCCACCTAAGGGTTTAGTTGTAGACCAAGAAGGGGGTCTCACAGGTCCTGAGGCCGCAGCATGGTTTGAAGCAAGAGATGTCTCGTTAGAGCCAAGAGCAAAAGGATTGCACGCAGATGTGGTGGAACGACATCACGAAATTCTGCGCCGACAAATTCACCTTCTTGACTCTAACGCAACAGCAGAAGGCATAAGAGCGTCCTTTTCGGCTGTTCTCAGCGAAGCAACCTTTGCCAAAAACGTGCTGTTTAACCAAGGTGGAGCCTCGCCTTATGAGGCTGTTTACGGTCGTGTTCCTCCTTTAGTTACTGTTGCTAGTCATCAGTCGCCGGATGTGATTGACGACCGTGATGCCGACCGCTTACGGCACCTTGCCCTTCAAAGCATGATGCAAGCCACCGCAGAAGCCAAAGCACGTCGTGCTGAGCAAACTAAGACCCGTCGCTCCGGCGAGCTCCTTCAGCTAGAGCCAGGTGATGTTGTGGAGTTCTGGCGCAAGGCCAGCACGAAAGACATCGAGGCTTGGCATGGGCCGGCCGTAGTAGCTGACGTCACCAGTTTGCGTGACGGGCAAATTTCTGTAAGATGGCAAGGTAGGGTGATAGCATGTAGGTTGCAAGATATTAGGAGAGCTTTAGTTTACCTAGCTCTTTTGGTTAGTAGCCCTTTAACGTCACCAATTGCTGTCTTACAGAATGCTGCTGAGTCGCACAGTGCCATGGTAGTAAGAGTAGGTTGGTTTAAGCACAAAGGTGAATGGCGCGCATTCGAAGCTAACAGTAGGTACCCTAAAGAGTTGTTAGCCGGTTTACATGTCGCAGCCTGCAACCTGTCGTTTTCAGGAACTGTTTCTTTTCGGTTTGGCAGTAATGTCAGTAGTCTTCCAGGCGTAAACTGTGACGAAAGCATGCTGTTGTTTTGGAGCCCGGGCCAACTCGAGGCCGGACACTTTGCCTTTATGGCAGGAAATCAGCATGTGAACTTTGCTAGACTGTGCGGCAAGTCCGATCTTGCATTTGTCCAGTTTTTCGCGGAAGATCAGGAAGCTATCCATCAGCTTCGGCAAGTTGTTGTCGACATACCCAATGTCGGCGGCATGCACGATCCTACAATGCCAGCGCTTCAGGACGTTACAGCGCAGGTGCAGCGTAGGACCAGGCAACGCCTCATGTTGGAGGATCCTCAGCCTGAGGTTCGCCTTCCTGAAGTGTATGACATTGCCACTCCTGACGACGCCACAGCGCGTACAGCTGAAACAGCTAGTGAAACCGAGCCTGAGCAAGAACCTCTGTTCTCCACGTACGTTTTTCTGCAACCAGAAGTCATCCTTGACCCCGCGTGGGAAAGCAGCTTTGTAGTAGACAAGCACGAACTGCAGGAAGAGCCCCCGCAGTTGCTCTTTCCTTTCACTCAGTCACACCTGCTGCTAGGTCTGAGACAGCCTCTCGCGTCCGACGAGATGGTGGTGGTCTACGTGTCAGACGAGCATCAAGCTGTGATCGAACGTGTTAACAACGTGCTGACTAGAGAGGAGGCTCTAGAAAATGCCGATAGATGTCGGACATCTATGGTAAAAGAGCTAACTCGTTGGCACTCCCATGGTGCTTGGAAGCGCACACCACGTGTGGGTGCAACCAACGTGCTTGCCTCAAAGTGGGTTCTTAAGTGGAAGCCCATAGGGGGTATTAGGGATGTTAAGGCGAGGTTAGTAGTGCAAGGTTTTAGGGATGCCCAAACTGTGAAGAACTATGCAGCCACTACAACTAGATGGGGACAGCGGTTGGTGTTAATCTTTGCTGTTCAGTTCGGTTGGGAACTGGTGTCTGCAGACGTTTCAGAAGCGTTTCTCAGAGGCATCACTTTTGAAGAGTTGCACAAAAGCGGTGTAGACCCTGTACTAAGAAAAGTGCAGATGTTGTTGCCACCAGGTGCCGAAGAACTCATCCGCACTATTCCGGGGTTCGAAGACTACGATGGCCAACAAGAACGCTTGGAGATGCTTAAGCCAGGTTTTGGGTTAAAGGATGCACCTAGACTTTGGGGTTTAGCGTTGCAGAAAGTCCTTGCTAAAATAGGTCTGAAAGCTGTTCGTGTCGATTCGCAACTTTTCGTCAAACACGAAGCAGGCAAACTTGTTTTACTTGTGTCTGTACATGTTGACGACCTCAAAATGACCGGTGTTTCTTCGCAGATTAAGCAAGCGCTGTCTCTTCTTGAGCAAGCCTTCGATGCTCTTAAGATAGAACGTGATTGTTTCGAGCACTTAGGTCTGAGGCACAAGTTGTTAAAGGATGGCAGCCGATCTGTGGATCAGCAGACCTATGTCTCTGAGTTGAGGCCCATACCTGAGGCTGAACTCAAACTGCTTCCTGCAGAGCAATCTGCCAGCCAAGGGCAGACGCAGCAGTTCATGAGCCTTGTGGGTGGTTTGGCATGGGTCGTACAGACCAGGCCAGACGTAGCAGTCTTCGTTGCTGCACTACAACGACGCCTCAAAGCACCAGTAGTGAAGGATCTAATCAATGCAAATCGGGTCCTGAAGTACTTGAAAGCTAAGCCTTTGGAGTTGGTTTACCGTAAGGTCAGGTCTCCTTGGAAGCTAGTGGTGGTTTCTGATTCTGCCTTCAAAGGTGAAGAGCAGGACTGTCTTGCAATGCGCAGTTGCATAATCGCTCTAGCCGCCCGTGAGGGATTGGCCAAAGGTGAGAATCAGCTTCAAATTCTAGAGTTTGTGAGCAAGAAGCAAAGCAAGGTGTGCAGGTCCACCTTTGCTGCAGAACTGCACAGCTGTCTTGACGCAATAGGCGCTGCCTGCGTCATTAATGCGGCACTCACTGAAGTACTGAACGGTGTGTCTTCTGCCACGGAACTCGCAGCTAAGCAAGATGCAGGTTCGCAAAGTCTTGCTTTAGACGTTGCAATAGACGCGAAGTCTGTTTGGGCAGCGGTCGGAAACGACACGACAACGTGCACCGACCAACTTGTGTTACTACACTTGTGCAAGTTGCGTGAAGTCGTGCGAGAAGTGGTGGACAAGTTTCACTGGGTAGACACGCGTAGTATGCTTTCTGATGGATTGACTAAAGGAGTCATTCCACGTGACGCACTTAGGAAAGTAGCACAAACAGGACTCTGGCTGATAGAGCAAGCATTGGAAACTTTTGTAGCACCCAGGAGCTCTGAACAACAGACTCCATCGTAGTTGCAGCATGTCTTCAGGCCAACACTAAGCTAGTAAGCGTAGACAACCCGAGTTGAAAGGTAGCAAGCCCTACTGACGCGTACTTGAGTTGTATGTTCTGATATGCTGCAGCTCGCGAGTGCTTACGATTGCATGCTAACTTGAAACCTCGAAGGTGTTGTATAGTGCAGGACTGACAGCATGTCATCACGTGAAAAGGGTCAATCTGCATTGTGTCATGTACACAGTTTCATGTGGAGCCCAGGGGTTTCAGAGGGACGTTCGTTTCTCAACTCTGCTCCTACTACCACTACTACTACTACTACTACTACTACTACTACTACTACTACTACTACTACTACTACTACTACTGCTACTGCTACTGCTACTGCTACTACTACTACTACTACTACTACTACTACTACTATGGTTTTAGGTCCCGAAAGCCATAATTCCATAATGGTAACCTTCGTGGGGATGGTCTTTTGGGACCAACTTTCATAGTTTTAGACCCTCTGGCATTGCAAGGAACTTCAAGGGCGAAGATGGGAAGACCAAGAAGAAGCGCCGCGATAAGAAAGCCTTTGAGCCGGACGTGGAGGCCCGGCGAAGCAGCAGTGCTGCACGACTTTGTATTGACGCCTCGTTCCTTTAAGGGTTGTTTGAAGGGCCCCTTAATTTTCCTAAAGGAATTTGGGTTTAAGGCTACCAGGTCCCTAGGCTCCTTTGAGGGTCGTTTAAAGGGCCTCTTAGTTTCTATAGAAGACTTTGTAGGGACGCCTTGTTTCTTTAACTTACTCTACGGGTCCATGTACCCATATAGAGGTACATGGGCCCCAAAGTACCTATATAGGGACTACATTAAGGCCAATGTATATACTATATGAGTACATGGACCCTTAGGGTTAGCTCTGGTTAATAGGGAATGGAGGAATGGGGTACAATTATAACTACTATTATTACCATTCTTCCATTCCCTACTAACCAAGGGTAAGTTAAGGGTCCTTTACAGGGCCCCTCAATTTCCCCAATAGACTTTGGGTTTAAGGTTACTAGGTCTCCGGCAATACACTTCTGCAGATTTTGGTTGCGGTCGCTTTTGCAACTGCGTAGTAGGAACATGTGCGGGGTAAGCTAGCAGAAATGTGGATTGAGAACTCGGGTTCGAAGCATATCCTTACCATCCCTGATCCCTACACGCTGGACTTGCAAACTCCCGAAATCCGGGGTCGGTACCGATTGAGTTGGAATCGACCAGCGTAGAAGTCCGGCATCCTGACTGTCACACGGTTGAGGCGTGTGGGTGTCTCCGGGTTTAGAGCTTTGGGGTTTGAGGTTTTGTTTGTTCGGCGCTTCAGTGGGTACGGCTTAGTCGGTTTAGGGTTTAGGGTTTAGGGTTTAGGGTTTAGGGTTAGGCTCAGGCGACTTAGTAATTCAGATGCAACTGAGGCTTACAACCACCCTGAGCCCGAGCACCCGAAGACAAACTGTAGTTCTGCGCAAACTTCCGAAACAGTTGCGGCAATCGGTCAAGACGACTAAAATCCCAGCGGCCGGTTCCGAAGAGCAACATAGCTACAGGGAAACATACACCGCAAGCTTGTTCAAGTTATCAAGCCCCCGACGCTCGCGGTAGTCACAGGTACGGTAAAGGGCCTGCACACATGGATTGTACAGATTTAAGTCTACAGTAAGTGCCCCAAAGTCGTAAACCCCGACCCCAAGTGGGAGAGCCGAAACAAAATCGGAACCCTCGCAACCTCACAAGTAGGTCTTGAATTTAGGACCTGACAAACAAAGCGCACATTAATAACCGCCCCCTCCCCCCCTAGAATCCTTGAAGCAAGCTCAGAAAAGCCTTGTCCGAACCCTTGCAAGCGCCGATTTCGGTGCCCTCAGTTCCAAGAACCCCGTCAGAACAAATCCTTTTCGGAGAGGACCTCGAGAAGGAAGGAGGGGCGAGTGCTGGCCAAGATATGGATGACAAGGACGACTGTGGGTTGGGCAGTTTCTTTGGACTGAGGTTAAGGTCTGGGGCCGGGTTTAGTGTGAGAATTAGGAATCTTCACATTTTCCTTTTATAAATGGTTAACACTGCCCGCTTCTGTGAGTTCTGGAGGGATTACTGTTTTCAGTGGTTTGGTTTTGAGGTTTGAGGGTTGCAGGGGAAGGACGACTTTGGTATTGATTGGCGAGCCAACAGGCCTTTGAAGCTACAACTGGTTTTATGGTTTCTATGCCATGGTATTCCTAGTTGATAAGGCCATATGTTGTTCTCGTATTTGAGGATCTACTGGCTTGTGGGTTCCAGGAGCCTTAAGCGCTTGAAAAACCCAAAGCCATCAGAACTAACTACTAAACCATACTAAAGCTAAAGGCCATCAGCTTAAGCCCTAAGCCCTAAACCCCTAAACCGGGGTCTGACTTTTTACTTCGTTTTTCCTCCCGGCAAGCGGAGGTGTGTAAGAGGGCTAGATTTTCCTGACCCATGTGGTCTTTCGTCGACGGCTTGCACCTTAGGCGGAAAAAGGAGCTCAAAAAGAACAAAAACTAAACCCAAGAAGCTCCTACTCCACGTTCTTCAGGACGTTCCCGTCATGCCGGGATCGGGGCGTCTGGTGACCAACACCACGACCGTTCACGGATTCGACTCGAAATTCAAAGACGAGCTCCCCAGACAAGCGTTTAGGGTCTAGGAATTAGGTTTGATGGATAAATATATGGTTCAGGAATCAGGGGTGTACGCTTCAGGTTTTCTAGGGTGTGGGAATTTGATGGGTTTACCGTTATGTGCCGAGGTACCTGTCGATGAGCATGTTTTGCCCGAAGTTCTTGAGTTACAGAGTCTTGGAGTTTTTATTTGGCACATCAACTATCCAGGCAGTAAGTTTTCTTCAGGTGCCAACAGCTATTATGGTATTGTTTTTGGACCTTAGGGTCGTAGTTGAAAGCCTCGTTGTATACGTGGACCGTCTGTAGGTTGTGTAACTACACCTAGGGACCTAGGGTCGTTTCTTTGCGTCTTGATTGTTCGGGGTACGCAGGGTGGACATAAGTATGGCGGGGAATTTGTGTGGAAAATGCTTCTGAATATAGTTAGCATGTCTTGCACCTTCCGTTTTCAAGTTTGGTCTATAGTTCAACTGGTTGCTTGAGGTGCATTGTCACAGAGGTCAAACGGAAAGCCGCAAAGCCGGACAAAGCCGTAGGCCCCTGAACCCTGGCAAACAACATGCAGGTACTGTGTTTCTCCAAACCCCGACACTCCAAGCCCAAAGCCCTCGACCCGTGACCCTGCTTTCTAAAGTTAAACCCTAAACCCATGAGCCCGAGAATCGAGATCCTAAACTCCCTAAAGCCGGACCCCAAAACATAAGCAAGCCAGCACATTGTAATTTCAGCAATTAAAGCAACTCGAATCCCAAAAACACGATAACCGGCCTTGAAAACCTAACAACAATCCAAACTCTGAAGCATAAAGCAGAAGCAAGTCCTGAAATGCGACCCAAAACAAGCCCTTCAAGCCCGTTAAAGACCTTTGAGTCCTTAGCCACCCTAAACCCTCAAACTTAACATCCAAGGTTAGAGGTGGGTGACACCATCATGGTCCACCACCCTACGTCTCTGGAGGTGTCGGATTGAAAAGAGTGTCTTCAGGCTTTAGCATTTAGGGTTTAGGGTTCAGGGTTTGGGGGCTTAGGGTTTAGGATTTGCACTATTGGGTTTGGGGTTTGGGTGTCTCGGGATCTAGGGTTAAGGTTTTGTGCGCTTGAGGGTTTGGGGTGTTGGGGTTTGCGTTTAAGGTTTTTAGGGTGCATTGGATTTAGCGTTTACGTTTGGGTTTTCGGGTTTATAGTGTTTAGGTTAACCAAGGGATAAACGACCCTGAAGAAACACTTCATGGTAGCTGCAACATGGCTCAAAGACACGGAACTTGAGCCCCGAATGAACTTTGAGGGCTCTGTTCCTCGCCCGGCCTCTGGGTCAGCAGTGTCGGTTTTGGAGGTTCGGGGTTTCGGGCTTGGGGATGAACTATGTTTATAAGACGCCATGCGTTCACAACAAGAGAGCCCTAAGCCCACAGCTCCCCATACTGCCATACATACCCTCGAAATCCCTAACCACAATGTCTTTCACTCTGAGAGGTCGAACTGCGCATGGTGGTCAGCGTGCTCTCACAGCGCAGCTGCGTGATCCACCAGTCTTTCTCCAAGGATTGCAACTCCACTGCTGCTTGGGAGCAGGCTTCAGACTTTCATCACGGCCCGGCACTGCCTGCTTTTGTCGATGGTTCCCCATGCTCCATGCCTATAAACCTAATTATACTCTAAGTTCGTGCGATCGGCACAGCAGCCGAGGTTGAGTATCACATCCGCAAGGACTCATTGAGCCTCGTCCAAGAAGCGGCCTGGTAACCCCGGAGCCGAGACCGCGATCCCGAAACCTTATGTCAAATATGAAGGACCTACCCTTTTAAGGAATTATTGAAGGAAGTCATAAGAAGGAGCCCTAAAATGCCCCCAAAAAGGTAGGCTCTTCAGGGTTTTCCGGTAAGCCTCATAAGACCCCCGCCAGCCAAGCAAAAGCTGGAGCCGAAACCTTCAAAGGTTTCAGGGGGTTTTGGGGTCCAGGACCCGAAACAGGAAAACCCCGAGTTCCATCGCACAGCCCTAGGGTTTAGGGGTTTAGGGGTTTAGGGTTTAGGGTTTAGGGGTTTAGGGTTTAGGGGTTTAGGGTTTAGGGTTTAGGTTTTTTAACGTTAAAAAACATGCGACGAAGTGTTCGGCACTTGCATGTGTTTCAGCATGTGCATGTGCCACGGTTTGATGCAGTTTTGGCACAAAGTGCCCCGATGAGCCTCTGGGTAGGCGAAACTAGTCGGCAGCCATAGCTTCGTGTTAAAACGGCATCGTTTCTGTGCTCCGCTCGAGTGTGTGTTCAACCCGGTGTGTCTTGACAACCTCAACACATTCGCGAAGTTACAGACATGACCCTGCGAAGCCGGAGTCGTGAGATTCTTGCTGACGCTCCGCCGAGTGCAGTGACAACATACACCACTGCCGCAGGAAGAACCAGAACAAACCCACCTCCAGGACTCGAAGATAATCTTCCTTCCAGTCAAATCCTTCTTGCTCAGCTTCTACATGCACAGCAAGCTCAGAACGAACTGTTCACGCGGCAGCTGGAGCTCTTGCAGAGTCAGCAGTTGCCAGTATACAGCAATCCGAGTGACATTCTCAAGAACGTTGATCCAGACATTCGCAACGTTCTGGCAGAATGGAGCAGGGAGTACAAGAATGCACTACACCAATGTGTCACGCAACGCGATCTTCAGACCAAGTATGCCGACTTGGAGACATCAGGATCGCTTCACAAGCAGTTCGCTGATGAGTGTAAGAAACAATGGCAATGGCCTCAGCAATTCATGGCCAATGCCAAGAAATTGGTTTCCTGCACCCCCATCCTTGAAGAAAATCAGGTCGACATGTTTGTAGATGGCGAGGTGGCCTTTGACATCTGCTCAGCATTCAAAGAGATGAGGCAACGACACGCGCGGGAGTGTCACAACTTTGTGCTCGCCTATCAGCGCCAATGCTGTCAGTTCTTTGAGAAGCAAGCAAATCATGAACATCAGCTTAGCTTGCTCAAGGATAAGCTTGTGGCTTGGTTTGACAAGTTCGGCTCAGCATTCAGCTCTTCAGCAAAGCAGGCCGTCAATAACCAAGCGATCCAGTTTGCAGAGCTGACATTTCGCACTGAGCATCCAAAAGCTGTATCGAGGCATGAGAAGGATCAGGCAAACAAGGCTAAGCAGAAGGAAGAAATCCTGAAGGCAGAGGCGGAGTTCAGGACCATGGATGTAACCAAGTTGCTCGCCACTGCAGTGCTGGAGCACTCAGCTCTGCAAGGCAGCAACCAGCACAACAGATCATCGCGATCAACTTCGAAGCAACAGGTCGTACATCAATCTGGTGCTCTTGCCTTCTTTGTGAAACAGTACCCGGAGCTTGCTGAGAAGTTCAACATTACCGTGAGGAAACAACGAACCCCTTCCAAGGCATCAAGCTCGCGACGACCATCAGCACGAGGCCGCTCCACATCACAAGCTTCTGCAGGATCACGAAAGTCGCAGGCTTCCAGAAAGTCGCGGACATCACATTCCGCCAGAAGCAGCAAACGTGGTAGCAGTCGGCATTCCCAGAAATCACAACGGTCTTCAGCTAGCCAGTCCAAGGGCAAGGGCCGCAAAGGAAAGGGCAAAGGCAAGAGATCCGGCAAGGACAAACATCAGAAAGAAGTGCGACTGAAAACTCCAGGACCAAAGAGGTCTTGACTATCCAAGCCAAGATCTCGAAAACGCAGTTTTTGGAATGCTGACGGCTCGATTGACTTCGACATCTACGTACGGTACAGATTGCGTAGTACGTCACTTGTACAGTTAGAAAGGCGCTTCAGCAGTCCGGTACATATATTGACACCACCAGATATCCAGATTCCAGTTTACGTTCGCGCACATTTGGCCAAGGGTGGCAAGTTCATCAGTGACATCAAGCAAAGTTCCGTTTGGCAAGTTATCTCAGAAGCGAGTTCTTTCGAAACCTCGCTGCACAAAGCAGTGTTTTCCAAGGACGGGCATTGGCTTCCAGTAAGCCCAAGCGCTGTCGTCTCCGAAGCACGTGGACTCCTCCAGAACATCCTCAGATTTCATTGTATGTCAGATTGTTGAAGCGCGAGTTGGAGCATTATGTCCCCAAACCGATCACGCGCAATGAGGACTTCATTGACGTGGCAGCTCGTAGATGGTTGGCTCAGAACAAACACGTTGCATGCATCGATTGTGACAAAAATCTGGGTGATGCCATCGTTTCACGACAGTGGCTTCAAACTGAATGCTTACGACTTCTTACAGAAGCTTCGACACCCGTGGATGACAGGGATATCGCAGCAACCACATCGAAGATGAAATCTTCACTGGAGAGCCTCACGCACTTCGCAGTTAGCAGTGGAGCTATACCTCAACAAACCAAGGACTTCATCCTGAGCAACATCTCCTCACAGCATGTTGGCCGATTCCGCATCAGAGTCAAGCTACATAAGCGTCCTGTTGTAGGGAGGCCAATCATGAACATGAGCAGGTCATGGATTGCACCGCTTGCGATCTTCGTGACCGAAACTTTGGGAGCAATGAGCCCTCAATTGAAGTTTGCGATTCAGTCCAGCACGGAGCTGCAAGACAAGATTGCAAGTCTGCTCATACCGCCCGGCTTCGAGCTTGTCACATTTGACATCAAGAACCTCTACCCCTCCATAGACCAGAGTCACTTCATGGAAATCGTTGGGCCGCGGATCCGCAAGTTCTTTATCACAAAACCAATGCTAGCCAAATTCTTGGTAGCCGCGGTTGAGTTTCTGCTGGGATACCAGATCATTGAGTTTGACAAACAAAAGTGGCAAGTGCAGAAAGGGCTTGCAACAGGTCTTCAGTGCAGTGTCATCTTTGCAATCATCTATTTGGATGCGCTAGACATTCTGGCAGATCAGTTCCGGACAGAGGACGTGGCGGAAACATCATCGGCTGTACTTGTGTGGGCACGGTTCATCGATGACGGATTCACCATCGTTCGCAAATCTGCCACAGAAAGCCTGCACTCGTTTCTCTCCTGTTGGCACGCATCTATAGACTGGGAAATCTCGGCCAGGGGGCTAGATGTACCATATCTTGACATGTGTGTTCGACTTCATGAAGATTCTGGAACGCTCAGCTTTGAAACATACCGCAAAGAAAACAATGCCTACCTCTACATCCCGAGGACTTCATGTCATCACACGGGAGTGTTCAAGGCAATTGTGATAGCAGAGACCCAGCGCATTTTCCGCACAAGCCGAGGCAATGCAAGCAGTGTGCAAAAACATTTGCAGTTCTTCCTGGACAAGTTGAAAGCCAGAGGATACAACCGACGAGATGCAGAACATCTTGCACATCACACGCTCAGTAAGTTGAAACATGGAGCTTCACATTCGCGGCTGAGTCGCTCAAAAGCTCAGCAAAGTTTCTATTTCAGGCAGGAGTACAGTTCTTCCCTGAACATCAAGACGATCAAGCATGCAATCAAACGAAATTGGCATGTGGTCGAAACGGCCCTACGCGGCAAACCAAGTGTTTCATTGAGCTTCCGAGTGCAGCCAAACCAGTTCCGAAGGAACTTTGCCATCAACTGGTTTTAGTGAGCCAATGTTACCAGGACAGGGAGTGGTGGGAGGGTCCTGGTTTTTTAACGTTAAAAAACATGCGACGAAGTGTTCGGCACTTGCATGTGTTTCAGCATGTGCATGTGCCACGGTTTGATGCAGTTTTGGCACAAAGTGCCCCGATGAGCCTCTGGGTAGGCGAAACTAGTCGGCAGCCATAGCTTCGTGTTAAAACGGCATCGTTTCTGTGCTCCGCTCGAGTGTGTGTTCAACCCGGTGAGCCGAAACCTTCAAAGGTTTCAGGGGTTTGGGGGGGTCCAGGACCCGAAACAGGAAAACCCCAAGTTCCATCGCACAGCCCTAGGGTTTAGGGTTTAGGGTTTAGGGTTTAGGGTTTAGGGGTTTAGGGTTTAGGGGTTTAGGGTTTAGGGTTTAGGGTTTACGGGTTTAGGGTTTAGGGGTTTAGGGTTTAGGGTTTAGGGTTTAGGGGTTTAGGGTTTAGGGGTTTAGGGTTTAGGGGTTTAGGGTTTAGGGTTTAGGGCTCAGGTCTAAGGAAGATGGAAGATAGAGAGGGGGTCCTGGCTCCATACCCGTCCTAGCCACATATCTACCTGATTCCTTGATATCATAGGGTTAAGCCTAGGGCTAGAACTACCATGTTACAGAGCGTGGATCTAGAGAAGGAACTTCCGAAAAACCCAAGCCCAGCTTCGCAAGCCCCAAGCCCTCCTCCCGAAATCCTAAACTTACCCGAAACCATAAACAAACTTGCCCCTTGGCGCCAAAAAAACCTGTAACCAAAAAGCAAGGACTGGGAATTCCGACAGCTAAGCCATGCTTGGGGCGTTGGGTCTAGCGCTTCGTGTCCCAACCCGTTACCATCACAACCCCAAGAAACCCCGAGGTCTTCTGATGCCACGACAGCTCAAGAAGAGAACCCCAAACCCTCAACCCCTCAACCCCAAAGCCCTAAACCCCAAACCGTCAACGCCCAGAACCCCAAACCCTCAACCCCACACCCTGAACCTCAACCCCTTAATCACTCAACCCCAAGTCCCTAAACCCAAGGAAGATCAAAGAGAAGGCCAAGTCAGAGATCCAGGAGGACAATCCGGAGCTTCTCCAGGACCGTCTTGGCTGCTTGTGGCGGTTTAGGTTTCAGGGCTTAGGATTTGTAGGGTTTAGGTCTTTGGGGTTTTGGCTGGTTTAGGGTATGTAGATGCCAAAATAATTGCATACAGTTTGCCTAGGATTCTTGTACGTAAATAACCTATGATGCACCCCACGGCCCAAAGCCGTAGTCTAATCGCTGAGACTGCTATGTTATATGTTCTGTAATGATTCCGTAAAGGTTCTAATCAGTGGTAGTTCAATCTAATTTCTCACCTACATTATAGATCCCCTAGGGCCCGAAACACTGAACCCTACATCGTAGATCCCCAGCTCGGAGATGCCTCGAAACCGCTCCAGGATGCTGCGTCGAGGGAACTTCAGAGGTGGGCGCTCTCGCGGGTGTGGAGTTGGGGCCTGGGACCGTTGGTGCTGATGTCCCCCCCATACCCAAAATGAATCTTGCACGTAATAGACCTCCAAATCCTAGTCTAAGAGAATTATATATATATATATATATATATAATGTGTGTGTATATGTATATATATATATATATACATATGATATATATATATATATATATGTGTGTGTGTGTGTGTGTGTGTGTGTGTTTGGGTAGGATTCTGCAAATATATTCGTAGTTACCCGTATAACATATAGGTCGGAATAAACAGCGGTATGCGTACCCCCTTACAGTCCCCTTGTATTCATAATATAAACGTATCCTGTATAACATCCGTATAGCAACCCTTATAGAAACCCTTGAAAAGAACCTTTGAAGGAAGCCAGTTCTAATGATTCAGCCCATGAGGCAGTTGGACAAGCGACTCAAGAAGCAATCCAAGACCGTCAGTGTCCGGGAGAAGACGGGCATGTGGGGCTACAAGGCGCGTGTTTGAGCTTCAGAAGGCTGGTCTTTAGGGTTAGGGTTTAAGCCTTAGGGCTTAGGGTTTACGGGGTGTAGACCCGTGAGGATGAGACCCTCTCTGAAAAGGGCTTTTACTCGCAATCCTTACTAAGCATTGGGTTTCGCGTTTGGGGGTCGAGGATTCTTACCCTGGAACCCGAGATAACCACATACTGGTGCACGGTATTCTCATTATTGTCATCGTGGGTTAACAAGAGGACCCGAAGACATCACCCATTGTGTCACATAAGCTTCTTGGAAGCAAAACCTCCTACTCGGAGGGTCAGCGTTTTTGGAATGCGTGTGATGGTTCACGTTCCAAGTATCTGAGTACGTCAGCAATATCGGGGCTGTCCTGTTTGCACCCCGGCGTTTAGGTGGACTTCAATACAGTTCCCATGAAGTTCGCAGAGCACGAGTTCGTACCTACACCCCAAACCCTCATTTCAAAACTTCAACTCCCCGAAACCTTGGAACAAATCTTAGCAAGCCAGAAAGCAAAACTCGAGCTCTAGATCCGAAAAAAGCAACTTCCAACAAAGCACTGAAGCCCACGACCCTAAAACCCAAACCCCATAGAAGCCTACAGCCCTAAACCCTATAACCCCCTAACCCCTAAAGCCCTAAACCCCTAAACGCAGGTCGTCACGAAGAAGCTCGACAAGACCTCCTCCGCGGAAGATGCGCTCGACGAGCGCTGCAAGCAAGGCCGGGTGTCGGCTTTTCTTGTGCTTAGCTACGTTCCCTTACAGGATTACCCATAGGCCCCATAGTAGTTCCTTTTTTGGGCTAATCCTGTAAGGAAACCCCAAAAGGAACTACTATGGGGCTTATGGGTACTTTAACGATTTAAGGGTTGTTGAAGGTTTAGGGTTTAATTAAGGCTTAGGGTTTAGGGAAGGGTTGTTGAAAGAGTTTCATCAGGATTCGATGTTCTATCTCACGGACTTGGTTTGGGAAGTTTGCGGTTTCCAGGTTCTCCGGTGGTACGTCTGTGCCCCGTGCCTTTGGCTTCCCACACCCTAAACCCCCTTAACCCCCTAAACCCTAAACCCTAAAACGCCACCCAATAAGAAGGATAAGTGCACCGTCGGATTCCTGGTTCAGTCCCGGGCCCCGGAAGGTTTCTCCAATAGAATATACCTTAACCCCACGTAACCTACCTTTTTAAGGACTTATATAAAGAAATCATATTAGGGAACCCTAAAAAGGTAGGTTCCTTAGGGTCCAGGTATTCAAACGCAGATTTTAGGGTTTTGGGGACACATATGGGAGTTTCCAAAAGCTAGGGGTGCCGTATTTTTGGGGTCCTTATTTCCCGAAAGCGTCGCGAAGGGTTCTTCCGTGCGGAGCCGGGTAGACAAGTACATAGATGACAAACATAGAATCGAGCACATGACCTTATGACTTGACACTTGATACATAGATGACAAACATAGAATCGAGCACATGACCTTATGACTTGACACTTGAGTCTACGACTCTATGACCCTATGACTCTATGACTCTAAGACCGAACTTGACTACTCTTGACTACTCTATGACTCTATGAACTTGAGGACTCTGTGACTTACTCACTTGACTACTCTATGACTCTGTGACTTACTCTGTGACTTACTCTGTGACTTACTCTTGACTTACTCTGTGACTTACTCTCTGACTTACTCTCTGACTTATGACTTACTCTGTGACTTTCTCTCTGACTTACTCTCTGACTTACTCTGTGACTTACTCTGTGACTTACTCTCTGACTTACTCTCTGACTTACTCTCTGACTTATGACTTACTCTGTGACTTACTCTCTGATTTACTCTCTGACTTACTCTCTACATCTCGGTATCTAATCTCTCTTCTAAAGGCAGGGGTGGCACCGTCGTCGTCCATCGGGAATGCAACCCTTCACAGGGATTGGCCACCTCGAGCGCCCAAACGCTAGGTAAAGTTACACATTTTAGGGTTCCCGTGCAACCCTTCCCAGGGATTCGCCTCCTCGGGCGTTCAAACGCGAGGTAAAGTTACACATTTTTATGTGCGCTTCGCACCCTTCCCAGGGATTCGCCTCCTCCGGCGTTCAAACGCGAGGTAAAGTTACACATTTTAGGCGCCCGGTGCAACCCTTCACAGGGATTCGCTTCCTCGGGCGTTCAAACGCGAGGTAAAGTTACACATTTTAGGCGCCCGGCGCAACCCTTCACAGGGATTGGAACTCTCGGGCGTTCAAACGCGAGGTAAAGTTACACATTTTAGGCGCCCGGCGCAACCCTTGACAGGGATTCGCCTCCTCGGGCGTTCAAACGCGAGGTAAAGTTACACATTTTTCGGGCGCCGTGAACCCTTCACAAGGATTCGCTTCCTCGGGCATTCAAACGCGAGGTAAAGTTACACATTTTAGGCGCGCCGCGCAACCCTTCACAGGGTTTGGGCGCAGCTCAACTGCATTTTGCAACCCTTCACAGGGATTGGCATTTTGCAACCTTTCACAGGGATTGGCATGGTCGAATGCACGAACGCTAGGTAAAGTTGCATTTTTTGATGTGCATTGAAATGAATTTTGCAACCCTTCACAGGGATTGGCGTGGTCGAGTGTTCGAACGCGAGGTAAAGTTGCAATTTTTTATGTGCATTGAGATGAATTTTGCAACCCTTCACAGGGATTGGCGTGGTCGAGTGTTCGAACGCGAGGCAAAGTTGCAATTTTTGATGTGCATTGAAATGAATTTTGCAACCCTTCACAGGGATTGGCGTGGTCGAGTGTTCGAACGCGAGGTAAAGTTGCAATTTTTGATGTGCATTGAGATGAATTTTGCAACCCTTCACACAGATTGGCGTTGTCGAGTGTTCGAACGCGAGGTAAAGTTATTACTTTTGATGTGCATTGAGGTGAAACTTGCAACCCTTCACAGAGATTGGCGTTGTCGAGTGTTCGAACTAGTACTAGTACTACTACCTACCACTACCACTACTACAACTATTACTACTACTACTGCTACTACTACTACTACTACTACTACCTACTGCTACTACTGTACTACTACTACTACTACTACTACTACTGCTACTACTACTACGACGACTACTACTACTACTACTACTATACTACTACTACTAGTAACACACACACACACTACTACACTACTACTACTACTACTACTACTACTACTGCTGCGACATAAAGTGACCATGCATAGAGTCATAGAGTCACGTTGAAACCACAGTAACAGGGATGTCTATATAGTGAGGTTCCGGAGCTAGGAAAGGAAGACTTCTGCGTCATGTTGGACTATACCCTAAACCCGCTAAACCTGAACATTAGTGTTCATAGAGTGAACTACATCAAGTCAAGTGCGTGGTACATAGATGACTCCATGACTCTATGACTCTTTCTCACTCTGACGCTATGACTCTATAACACTATGACTCTATGATTCTGTCTCACTGTGACTCTATGACTCTATATGACTCTATGACTCTTTGAACTATGACTTGTGCTTGACATGTACTCGACTCTATTTCTCGATGACTCTATGAACTATGACTCGTACGACTCTTGACTGTATGTGACACTCCGACTCTGTGACTCCGTGCTTTTGACTCGGTGACTCTATGACCCTATACACTGGATTCTATGACGTAGCGCAACACTCTTCGCTGATGATGCTTTCGGGCCAATTGTCTTCTAGTTATATTACTAAGGATCCAACTATTAAGGGTAATTACGATGTTGGGGTCCCGTATTTTCGGACACTCCCGTATACTGGTAGGATGGTGATGTTTTGGTGGAGTTATAGTGTTTTGGATCCTTCTGAGCTTTCTGGAACATTGGTGTCTGTCGGCTGCTGTTTGGGCTAGCAGCTGCTCCGAGGTTACGTGGAGGCTCCGTAGTAGTTCCTTTTTGGGGGGTCATATTCCCAAAAAGGAACTACTATGGAGCCTATGGGCAGAGGATTTAGCATTCACGGTTTGGCGTTTAAGGGTGGTTCGCATGACTTCTGCTGGCTTCGACGGTAAGCTCAGAGGTCGTTTCGTTGTTTGGTGGCTACTTCGGGTGTGCTATAGGGGCCTTAATTTCCCATATGATTTTTTGGGCGGGGTTCCTTATTATAGCTATACTATAATGACCCCAAAACCCTATTCTATTTGAGCCTTTCCGGCGGCAGGCCGTGACAAATGGTGCTGCATCTGAGAGGAAGGATCTGCACGGCAGAAAGTCTTCTAAAATGGACCGATGCTACACAGTGTCCAATGGCCTCGGGCCTAGTGGTTTTATGCTCCCTCTAAATCTTGACCTGCAATAACATTCCAATCGCCTACGATGGAGTTCCGACCCAAGGGAAACTCCTTCTAATGCCTCATTGTACTGCAGGGGCCTCAAAAGCATGTAGGGTAGACCTCCCCTAAACGTAACACTAAACCCACGTGCCTTTGGAGCCGGCGTCTGACAATGCCCGCTGACTCGCGCCATGCGAACAAAACATGGCTGTCCGTCAGCTTTCCTTCAGGCCTCTGTAAGGGCATTACAGTAATTAACTATATTATCGTTTGCGCAAAGCAGGCCAATGTTGAGGTAAACATGGAGCCCAGATTAAACCAACAACCCACACCCAGCATCCCACTTTTCACCGTAAATCCTAAAGCCTGGCCAATTCTCCAAAGTCTCAACGACAAAAATTGCCCTTGAAGCTGATCCTCAATCCTCGGACAGGACACCATGTCACAAACACTTGAAAATGTGGTTTAAGGGGTCGTTCTTATTGGCAGTATGGTTTACAACCGTTTGGATATGTTGTTGCTGTCGTTGTCGTTGTCGTTGTCGTTGTCGTTGTCGTTGTGGTTGTTGTTGCTGTTGTTGTCATTATGGGAATCTAAACCTTACACCCTAAACCCCAAACCCTATGATTATTCGTGTCATTCTTATCATTCGAGCCCCAAGGTTTGAAGTTTGTCTTCTGTAAATCATAAAAGGTCTAAGTCTTTCCGGTCTTTAGGGCTTGAACCTCATTCATGGCGACGAAATACTTACAATGTGTAGGGCTGTATTGCTTCGGGGTCTATGGGTATATCATCCTATAGAGTGGGACAAGGTCCTTCACGCAGTTTTAATTAATCCGGACCCTCCCGAAGTTATGCCTAGGCCTCCTTATTTAGGGGATCTTAAACCCACCGAAAAACTCCCTACACCCCTTGGGCTCTAAACCTTTAGATTCCCCTCCATACTCACACCCTGGACACAAGGACCCTCAGGGCGACATCTGGACATCCGGGTCTGCCATACGTGAACCCAACCTGAACCCCCAAAGCTACCTGTCGACGGACATCTTCAACGAAACCATAAAACCCTCAAGCCTAAACCCACGAGGAGCTAGCCATGAAACAAAATCCCGGGAAGCATGTGGCTTCGGACTTAGCATTTAAGTGCATTTTTCGAAGTTTGCCAGCATCCTTCAGCTAGTTTTACATACAGCCTGTAGAGGGATTGGGTGTAGGTCAAGATATTTAACTACTTTCGTCATTTTTGGTTTGGGTGGGTAGTGCCTAGGTGTGTTTTTTTCGGTCAGGGTCTTGGCATTCGGCGGCATTAAGCCCTAAACCCCGAACCCTAAAGCCCAACCTCTACACCCCAAATCCTAAACCCAAAACCTAAACCCCTAAACCCTAAACTTCATTTCATCCCAAGCCCTAAACCTCAAACCATCCCAAACCCAAAACCTAACCCCCAAACCCCCAAACTCTGAACCCCAAACCCTAAGCCCCTAAACCCTAAACCCTCAAACCACCCCAAACCCTAAAACCTCAAAGCATACTTGGCAGGCCTCTCAGGATCCCTATGCCGTCGCTACCGAGGTTGGGGCCTCGAGGGCGTATATAGGGGTTCAGGGGCTTTCTTACAGTTTGGATCACAATACATACATACATATATACATGTAATGTATACACATATTATATGTATGTATATATATATATGTATAATATAATATAATATAATATAATATAATATAATATAATATAATATAATATAATATAATATAATATAATATAATTTAATATAATATAATATAATTTTTATATTATATTATATTATATTATATTATATTATATTATATTATATTATATTATATTATATTATATTATATTATATTATATTATATTATATTATATTATATTATATATATATATATGTATAGATGTCTGGGGTTTAGGGCTCCAGGGTTAAGGCCTTAGGGACCGAGACTCCGAAATGTATTCCGAGAGCTTTTCGGGGGTAAGGGTTTTAAGTTTGTGGAGTTTGTGTATGTGTCTGTGTGTGTGTGTGTGCGTGCGCGCGGTTGTGTTGTTTCTTTCGTTGAGTGACGTTCAGTGGTTTGTGTCTTTGACTCTATGGTATACGGTGAATCCACATGGCTCAGGATTTAGGGGATCGGCGTTAAGAATATTCAAAATTGTTGGTGGTAGGCAACTTCTTGGGATTGTCTGTTGACTGCACCCCTTGAAAGGGCAGCCCAACAAGCCATAGTCGTGGTTAACTCTCAGAAGAATGGATCCTCCCCGATAACGCAAGGAATAATGCCTGATTAAAGGGGTTGGGGCAGGCTCTCGGTTCATAGTTTTGGATGTATGGGCGCTTCAATCTCCTTGCAAGGTTTAAGGTGTTCGGCCAGAGACTCCACATTGAGCAGTCGCCGATACATCACCGGGTACGAGATACATGCATTACGGGTTTTAACCTACCTGAGAACCGAAACCAACAAAAGATAATTGTCTAAACCCACAACCCAACGCACAAAGCAGAAATACCCTGGCGCCAACACCAAAACATAAATTCCCAGACGCGATACCTTCTATCAGCCCGAAACCCCAAAAACCCTAAACCCTAAACCTCAAACCCGTCCCACCTCGCGCAGACCTTTCAGGCTACGCAGAAAAGGAGCTCAGCAAAAAATAACCTCAAACCCGAAGCCCGAAGCCTATAAGTATAGTATAATAGGCCCCAAAACCCCAGTCTAATTATTAAGGCCCCTATAAAGTCTAAGTATTAAGGCCCCCTCTATCCCACCATCGTATGTTCTTCACTCTTCCGAGGTTGAATCCGGAGCAAAGCCACGGTCTGAGCTTTTCGGAGTTCGGTGCAGGAGTGTAGGAGTTTCCGAAAATGAGGGGTACCTTCTTTTGGGGTCCTGATAATCAGGATCCTACTATTTGAGGTACTATATTAGGGTCCCCTATACTACTTAGGGTACTATATTTGGGTCCCCTATTTTCGGAAACTCCCACATGGACCCTTAGGGTTAGGTTTGAGCTAAAGGCTCCGGAGTCGGACTTATGAGTGAGTTTTGGAAGTCTGCTTGTCCTTCTGTTTCTTTGAAGGGTTTGGGGCTTTCATAACAAGTTCGCGAACCTGTAGGGCTTGACTGCAGATCCATCTCCTTCTGCGTTAACGGGTTGTGCCCCATAATTTTGGGGTCAACACCTACTTTTATGCGTGGTTCCCTCCATACGTATCGTATAACATGCCGCAAAAACCCTTCACTAGCCATTCGGAGGAGAGCCGCTTGTGACTCTATTCTTGCAGAGCTGCAGCGAATATCTTTAAAGGTTAACCCCAATGCAGCGGTTGTAGTTACATGTACCATAGCATAACCCCAATACCCTTCTCTAATCATGCAGGCCGACCCATTTCTTAATTTTACTCAGCCCTAGTCGCCAATCCCCAACCCAAAGCTCCCCCGTTGTTTTTGAGACCCAGGCGTGCGACGACTCGCGAGGCACCATCTGTTCTGCTCGCTTTTGCCGGCTGAAGAGTTGTTTTTGCAAGGCTCTTTTGGAGGGAGGGGTCTTTTTGAAGGTGATCTTATGATCTTGCGCAAGGGTTGTTGAGATGATCTGGGAGGTTGGATAGGTTCTTGGTGGGTTGAGGGCCGCGGGGTTTGAATGATGCGAAGATGTTTGAATGTGGGTGGTTGTCAAAATTAGGGCCCCTTTTTAGGTACCCTAAGTATTAGGTGCCGTACTATAATAGGGACCCAAAAAGCGCCACAATTTGGACCACCACCCATGTATTCGATATCTTTCTGAGCTTCGGGGGTTCGCGGGGATTGACTGGTTAGAAGGTTTAGGGCTTATAAGGGTTAGGGTTCATTTTGAGTCAAGGCCCCTCGTTTCGGGTCGCAGGGATGCAATGTGTTGCTTTTGATTTCTGGACCCGATCCTAGGTCAAAGAGAAGCTTGCTTAATAATTAGAATAGGGTTCCTGTAAAGGGGTCTATAAGGGTTACTATAAGGAATACTATAAGGGATCTCTAGTATAGGGGCCTTGATAACTAGAATTGGTTTTGGGGGCCCATTATACTATAATTATAACAAGGAACACCCAAAATAGTATTGGTAATTATTTAGGCCCCTATGGTATTTGCACACCCCTGATCACCGCCTCTCAAACAAGTAGGGGTGAGTCCCAGACCCTTAACCTGGATGCCAGGACTCTCTTTGCTGCGCCATGCCGAGCGATACGAGACTGACAGTGTGATGGTCTGCCGGAGTGATCTGCACGCCCCGAAACGCAAAACCCAGAGCTTCCCACCCTTAAGCCCTTAATAGGCTGTTCCTATGTAATGAGCCAAAATCCCTCGAGCGTAGGTTCTGGGAGCTTGTAGTCCTGAGCCCAGAACTCAAACCCCAAAGCCCAAACCCTAAACCCGAAAGCCTCCGGCCTGGTTTTCATTGGCCTTTCTGGCGGAGCCCTTCACTCCCCGAATGCTTCGAGTTGTCTCAAGCGGAGAAAGTCCTAGCGTCATCAGTGCCGCTGCCGTGAGGACCGGATGGCTTTCAATTGCACAAAATCTTAGGATATCGGGCTTTTAAGGCTTTGAGCCAGGATCTGGGAGTGTTACCCTTGCTGTATTTGCTATCAAGAGGGCGCTGGCCCTAGCTCCGCCTAAAGACTCCCATAAGACCTTAACCAAACAGGGTTTACCAATGGTTTCAACGGATTCACAGTCCAAGGCCATGGCTTATACCAGTCGTGTTTGAAGCGTTTGGTTAGGCAAGGGTTCAGGGTTTTGGGGTTTGACAGGGTTGTGGTTCAGAGTATGTCATGTCCTACTCCTCAGGAGGGTACTGGGTGAAAACACCCTCCCATAACGACCCACAAGCTTCGAACCCCTATGCTTCAGGCTGTTAGGGAATAGAGGGCTTGCTCAAGCCGAATAATGAGATGAAGAGATCTAACACGGCTTGTCGATGGTAGAGCCTAACGCCAAATCGGAGGCAGGGGCATAATGAAAGAGAGGACCTCCGTATCACAATATTGCATCTTTTCTCGTTGATTTGGTCCTCAGGGCGCCTGTTAAGCAGCTATGCAGCGACACGGGACGCAAGGCAGATGCAAAGCTCGATGTGCGAAAAGGTCTCCGCGAACGTGATTGCGGCACACGGCTATCTTAGTGGATCTGTATCTTTGTTACAGGTTTTACCAGTTTTACAGGGAACCTATTTGGCAAATAGTCTATTGGGTAGTTCATAGGCAAGGAGTTTAGGTTTAACATCTGCGATGGTATAGTGTATGGGATCCCTGATAACCTGGGCCCTACACACGGAGGCACTTTACAGCCTGCCCTTAACTCGACAGAGTTAGTTTCGTCCATGCCTCCTTCAAGCCAGTTGTTTGTTACCTCGTAGCCAGTTTGCATGCACGACACGGAAACGACCCCTGGTCCCTACGGTACGCCCGTGAACCCACAACCCCATGCCCGGAAGCAGCGTGTAAACAGCAAAATGCATCGGAACTGCAAGGGGTGGGATTCAGATGACCACGAGTGGAGCTCAGGAACACACCGGAACGCACTCGTCCTTGGCCGCCTCTGGGCGAGGCCACGATTTGTCTAGGGCACATCATTCAGGGGCCATGGTTTAGGGTTTAGAGTCTTAGGGTTGCTGCTTAAGTTTGGCAGCATTAAGGGGATTTGGTTTAGGCCTTGTGGGAATTTGCTGCAGGCTTCATGCCGGCGACACCAATGCTATGCTATCCCCCAAACCCTATACCTTAATTGCAAACTCTGGGCCCAGAACTCTATAAACCCCTGTCTCTGAAGCTTACCTATTCCTGAAGGCCTAGATCGTAAGCCCCAACCCTTAGACTCCTCTAAAGCCTAAGCCTGAACCCCACAGCCCTAAACCGCCATACCTGAACACCCTGACCCTACATCCCGAAACCCTAAACTTAAGCCTAAACCCAGAAACCCCAAGCACAAGAGCCGCATCGACAGGCCGAGCCACAGGAGCCTGGGCACTCAGAGATCAACAGGGAGGCCGGAGGGGCTTATAGGAAAAAGTATAACAAGAAGACTGCGTCGAATAATCACAGTAATGGCATGTAATGTATATATATATATATATATATATATATGTATGTATATTTACATACCTATTAATCAAGTATAACAGCAATCGTACGTTTATTAATACTAGTAATAGCCATAAATGCAACAGCATTGTACGGCCTAGCGGCCCCGGGCTTCATGAACAAGCTAAGAGTTTAAGCTCAAGGTTTTGGGTAAAAGGTTCTAGGGCTTGGGTCTAAAGTGGAGGCCCAAGGTTGGTAGGGGTTAGCTACTATTTGCTTAAGAACCCCCAAAAAATAAAAAATATATTCCTTATGGGGGTAATATAGGGGTTATTTTTTTTATTTTTTGGGGGTTTCTTAAGCAAACAGTAGTTAGGGTGATTATATATGGGTGGTTGTCAAAATTAGGGTCCCTTTTTGGATCCCTGCTATAATACGGCACCTAATTTTGACGGTACCCGAAAAGCGATCATAATTTGACAACGTTAGGGTGATTATATATGTGTAGAGTTTGAGGTTGGGAGACTTTGCCAAAGGAAACCGACCACCAGATGGGTCAACATAGGCAGGTTATTGCTTAAGTTGTCTCAAAACGGTGTGTTCGTGTTTGGCTTTGTGGTGTTCTGTATCTTTGCTGAAAAGGTGTTCACAACTAGGTCTGTGCTTGACGGTGGAGCTCATGGATCTAGAGACGCAAAGAACCCCGAGAAGGTGTCCTACCACGGGTGCTAACATAGGGCTTTTGGACAAAACATCACAAAATCCTGCGTTACCCGCGCTCAAGAAATACAGTTCACCGTTCACCTGTCTGGGGTGGTTCACGCTCAAGCCTCCGCCTCCGGGTAGAGTATCGTCTTCAGTGACTTAGTGGTTAGTATTACATAATACATTAAACCCAGACCTTCCAAAACCCCTTAATTAAGGAATATTCCTTAATTAAGGGATTTTGGAAGGTCTGGGATACATTAAACTTAAGGCCTGGGGTTTGGAGGTGCAGCGTCTTCGCGCTGCTGTGCGCCGTGTGCCCGGATGGGGGCAAAGGGTTAAGGTCTGGGTTCCCCCTTGAACTAAAGTGTCATGGGACTCAGGATGATATGTAAGATCCCAGACCTTCCAACACCCCTTAATTAAGGAATATACCTTAAATTATAGTAGGATCCTTAATATGATTTAAGGAATATTCCTTAATTAAGGGATTTTGGAAGGTCTGGGATAGAGGCCGGAAGTGAGGGCTTCAAAAACCACCGAAACAAAAGGGTTTGGGATGTCGAGGGCACCATGCGGCTGCAACAAAAACACTCTGCAAGCTTCGCTTGTGAGATACTGATATCTGTGTGGGCTTCTTCTGGTCGACTCAGAGTTCGATTTATTAACCGCACGGTAACCCTAAAGGGTCCGTGTACTCATATAGCACAACATGTGGTCCTCAAACCAATGTGGCATACAGGAGCCACTTCACAGGGCTCTAAGTCTAGTTAAAATATGCCACAAAAGAGCAGGATAAGTATATATATATATATATATGTGTATACACATACACACATATATGCAAGTAGGCATGTAAGTATGTATGTATGCTTATACAGTTGTACATGTACATGGGAAACATACAATACACATGCATGTATATGTTTATGTATATGTCTATGCATATGTCAACAAATGCATATGCATGTGTAGACATGTAAATGCATACATACTGGTACAGGGAACTCCAGAAAGTTGGAATATGGTTTCAGGGTAGGATACCCTATAATTTACAATAAAGGGTTTAGGATAATCATATTCCAACTTTCTAGCTTTTACCTTAGGTATATGGACCCCAAGGTCCTGGGCTTTTTCCAGCCAAGGGCCATCTTGAACTCTAGCTTTGCTGCTAGACGACTCGGGAATGAAACCCGAGTCCTAAATCTTTCAAGCCGACTTGCCCAGTTCGGTCACTTATGAACTTATGGCAACACAATTTGAAGAGAAATCCCTCAACCCCCAGCCAGCCCAATCCCCCAAATCGCACCACATCAGTTCAGGGACCGTAGTTGAAAAACAGATAGACATGGGCGGTTGTCAATATTAGGGTCCCTTTTTGGTAATACAATACGACACCTAATAATTAATTAGGCTACCCAAAAAGGGGCCCTAATTTTGACGACCACCCAAATGTCTTCAATATAATGGGTATAGAATAGCTACAGAGTATATAGGGGTCCTTCTTAAGGGTCCCTCCTTTTAATGAGCACAGCCCTGCTCTTCCACCAGATCCGCCCAAGGCGGTGGCCGGGATTTCGAGCGGGTCAGGCCGGTATCCCAGAAGCTCCACTGAGTGAGCAAGGGGGCTTTACGGTCTGCTAGTAGGTTTAATCAAGACTTATATGGAGTTAGAGTTGTTGAGAGGATTTAGGAGGGACTTGTGAGGTTTTGGGTTTTGGGTTTAGGGAACCCTAAACCCTAAATGGGGTAATTACAGACCAACAGCCCTCCGCCTTAAGGCCTTGAGGCCCCCCCCCTCAACAGTAGGACTCGACACTCCAAACCCTAAACCTTGACTAGGTAGGCGGTTCGGACATTTTGGATTTTCCCCTACTGGGCAGAAGAGATCAGAAGAGGATCTAACTTACAACTTGGCAGATTTAGCTACAACATCTCCAATTCTTGAAACAGAACCAGTAGTCGGCCTGAGACTGAGTCCAAATGAAGCAAGGCACATCGATACCGACCTGAACTGTTTCCCTTTGGGGTTTACTGAGGTTTAGGGTTGAGGGTTTCAACGGTTTCAGGGTCTGTTTTATAGGTTGTTAGGTTTTTCTGGGGTCTGGGTAAAGGGTGTAGGAGTGAGGCAGTTTGAGTGTAGTTAGCGACATACTTCAGGCTCCTACCGAAACCTGGGAATCGAACAAGTCGCATGCCTTTTCCCCTTGAAGCGGATGTCCAAGCCATGCACTTGACCCTACCCCAAAGCGTCTGCTCTGTGTGTGTGTGTGTGTGTGCTTGGGAGGGTCTGGAATCTCTTCAGGAGAGCCCTTGCGTCTCCCTGAGTCTTTGAGGTCTAAGTAAATGTTCAGTGATCAGCTCCCCGAGACGAGAACCTGGATTTACTTTTTGCCTTAAACACATGTTAACCACCAGCTAAATTTTTTCTCGAAGCCTGATGAGGGGTTGACCGATGCCGCTGGTAATGGGAAAGAAATGCCTTATAGACATGAATACGTGATACCCGCCACAACAGCCAATAACTGAGGCAGTACGCCAGTGTTTTGATTGGCATAGCGAGACCATGTTTCAAAAGACACCCCCTCTTTGGGAGTTCAGAAACTAAGAGACCGAAATGTGGACCCTAGTGATCCTTGTGTGAGGACCCCGAAATAGGACTCCCATAAATCAACCCAGTGCTTGAAGCCTTATTCACATGAGGGTCGACATGGTCGAAGTGATCAAGCGCGCTTTTCCAGATGACGCCGGGTTCGGACACTCAGGCAATCTGTGACGGATCAAGGGGCCTATAGTAAGCTGGGCTAGAATGTTATTTAGGGCTTAGGATTAAGGGTTTAAGATGTTAGCTGGTCGTCGGGGTATACATGGGATGACAAAAATTGACTTAAGGAGTGGATAGCAATATAGTGGAAGCCCTTCAAGGCAGGAGTACATATAGTATCGGTACCTTGGCCTGGGGTTCCACTTCCATGAGAATCATTGGTCATATACTCTCCGATCTAGCGAACCCTGAACTCTGCACCTGAGTGAGGGTCCTAAGATAATGGGCTACCTATGTAACTACACAGTACGCCTGCTGTATTCAGAACAATCACGAGAGCTGCTGTGGGTACACACAATACAGGTGCATAAACATCAATATGGGAGTTTCCGAAAATAGGGGACCCGAATATAGTACCCTAAATAGTAGGATCCTTATTATAAGGACCCCCAAATAAGGTACCCCTTATTTTCGGAAACTCCCATATTAGCATTCAGATCCGTAGCCGCTGCCTGTGCCTCACATCTGTTCCTCACTACCCCAAACGCAAACTGAAACCCTGAAACATCGAGTTTCCTGCAAACTTTTTTTGTCCTAGACCCGGTTCCCTGGGTTCATCGGCGTCTGAGAACCGAAAGCCTTAATTGCGAGCTCCTCTGGTGCACGCGGTCTTTTCGGCCCCTGCACCATGACAACCTAACACCCTTGGGGGGTTTAGGGTTTAGGATTTCGGGTTTAGGGTTCAGGATTTCCTCAGTTTCTAAACAAACATGAAGTTAAATCAACTGACATGAAATTCCAGACCCGAGACCCATAAACGCTTCATTTTGTAACTAGGGGGCGCCTGCCTGAACCTCAAGCCTTGAACCCTAAACTTCAAGCCCAAACCCTAAGCCCTGAACTTTACGCCCTAAGCCCTAAATTGAAACTAAGCCCTAAACTTTAAACCCTCAGCCGTAAACTTGTAACCCTAAACTAACCAACAACCCCAAACCCTCAGTAAAGGGCACCCCCAGACCTTCCAAAACCCCTTAATTAAGGAATATACCTTAAAATCATATTAAGGATCCTACTATAATTTAGGGTACATTCCTTAATTAAGGGATTTTGGAAGGTCTGGACCCATCCACCAAGCCCGAGGCTTGTGTATCAACTTCAGAGCGCTGCAGAGTCGATCGAGGCCTTTCCCCTTTAGGGGGTTTAGGGTTGAGGGAATCTTAGCAGTTCATACCTGGACCCCCAAAAGCAGGTAAAAAAAGGCCCAAAACCTACTTTTTGGGGGTCCAGGTACTTATAGGAGGGTTAAGGGCTAGGTTCAGGGGTTGGAGTTTGGGGCTTCTGGGTTTAGGGTTTAAGGTTTTAGAGGTTAGTGTCTTGGGTTTTGGGCTCTGTATGGTTTTGTCAACACGTTCTAAGAGCGGGGGGTCCTCGGTGTTTGTGGGCTTCGAGTGTCACACAAGTGGTCTACTTTTTTGTAAAGAGTATGATAATCGCCTTCCTACTTAGGTTAGGGCATGTTCTACTGTAGTCATACGGGGGCTGTACGGGGACAGTGTTACGAGTTATTCAGACCTCTCTCGCTAATCTATCTATTTATCTAGCTATCCGTACATAATATATGTATGTGTATATACATAAATATATACATGTTACCTACCCAATGCAGTGGTAGTCGCTTCGCGAAGCTCCTCTGATCAAGAATGGGAGGATGGGCTGATGTACGTACCTGGGATTCCGGCTACTGTTACGTATTAACATATGACTTTATGTGTATGTATAAATACATACATATGCTTGACACTCGAAGTCCCGCAATCCACCGGATTTCGACACTTCCCACGTGAAGCATGTCGTTTGCCGTTGAAGTTTCATTGCTCAGTGGCAAAACAGTTACAGTGCAAGCCGGCCTGGACGAAACCGTGGAGGTGTTGACACAACGGGCACAGATCGCACTTGGAGTCGGCAAAGGGCGTCTGCTGAACTCCTCCGGAGTCGTTCTGAACGGAGTGGAGACCCTGAGTTCAAGGATTCTGAATGGTGACTCGCTGACCTTGCATGTGAACAGAATTCAAGTTCAGTCCAATGTTCGTTCTTTTGCTGCCATTCTTGGCGATGGGTCCGTGGCGACCTGGGGTGATGCTGAGTGCGGTGGCGACAGCAGAGCTGTGCAGGGTCAGCTGAAGAATGTGCAGCAGATTCAAGCCGCTGACTTGGCTTTCGCTGCCATTCTGGAAGAAGGATCCGTCGTGACCTGGGGCAAGGCTGAGTATGGTGGTGACAGCAGCGCTGTGCAGGGTCAGCTGAAGACAGTGCAGCAGATCCAAGCCTCTGAGTGCGCTTTTGCTGCAATTCTTGGCGATGGATCCGTCGTGACCTGGGGTGATGCTGGCTGTGGTGGCGACAGTAGTGCTGTGCAGGATCAGTTGAAGAATGTGCAGCAGATTCAAGCCTCCTGTGCTGCCTTTGCGGCCATTCTTGACGATGGATCTGTTGTCACGTGGGGTGGGTTCCTCTGGGGGGAAAGCATCAGTGCTGCGCAGGGTCAGCTGAAGAATGTGCAGCAGATCCAAGCCGCTGACGACGCTTTCGCTGCCATTCTGGAAGACAGATCCGTCGTGACCTGGGGTGATGCTGCGCGCGGTGGCGACAGTAGTGCTGTGCAGGATCAGCTGAGGAATGTGCAGCAGATTCAAGCCTCTGAAGCTGCTTTTGCTGCAATTCTTGGCGACGGATCTGTGGTGACCTGGGGTCTTGCTGGCTATGGTGGCGATAGTTGTGCAGTGCAGGGTCAGCTGAAGAATGTGCAGCAGATCCAAGCATCTTCCGGCGCTTTTGTTGCCATTCTGGGTGATGGATCGGTGGTGACCTGGGGTTCTGCTGCTTATGGTGGTGACAGTAGTGCTGTGCAGGCTCAGCTGAAGCACGTGCAGCAGATTCAAGCCACTGAGAGTGCTTTTGCTGCCGTTCTTGCTGATGGATCCGTGGCGACCTGGGGAGATGCTGAGCGTGGTGGAGACAGCAGAGCTGTGCAGGATCAGCTGAAGAATGTGCTGCAGATCCAAGCCTCCGGCCGCGCTTTTGCTGCCATTATTGGTGATGGATCGGTTGTGACCTGGGGTAACGCTGCGCTTGGTGGCGACAGTAGTGCTGTGCAGGATCAGCTAATGTCTATTCCGTAAATCTCTGTTTGTTTGTAAATCGTTGAGCCAGGGTGGGTTGGCAAGCTGTCGTGCATGAGGTGAGGCAGCACACGAAAACCAAATGTTGACACACCTGCCAAGACGCTGAGAGGCTTGGGGTTCCTTATTGTATTTATAGTATAGTATACTGCCCCTACTATGTCGAAGTGCCGACTACTCCCTCGAATCCCTCTAATGCAACCTTGGGCTTCGCAGCAAGGAGTAGCTATCTGAGCCTTCATCACCTGAATCAGAGGCTCTAAACTCTGAACCCTATATCCTTTTAGCAGGGCTTCCAAGGCTCAGGTATACAAAGGGCATGTACTGCCTACATATTACAGTGCAATTCCCAATACCCTGAACTGCAGCCCCCAATCCCAACCCTTGATCCTAAACCCCGAATCGACAAGCATACCGGTTGCGCTGACAACAGTCAATCCTTAGATGGTCAAGTGCCCTATAAACCTGAACCTAGAGCCCCCGAAGCCCAAACCCTGTATACATCTTACCGGAAATCTGGATTTTCAATATAACTCACGTATGTCTGTCTGTTTGCCTGTCTGTCTGTATGCATGTATGTATTTGTATGTATGCATATACAAATGTGCAAATATGTAAATACGTACTGTATATGAGAGAGTTCTTAAAGAGGTAGGCTTTGGGAGATAAAGGTATACCCTTAACCCCTAATCCGGATAAACCCTAATCCCTAAACGCCTAAACCCCTAAACCCCCAAACCCTAAACCCCTAAGCCCCTAAACCCCTAAACCCTAAACCCCTAAACCCCTACACCCTAAACCCCTAAACCCTAGCTTCGAGTCACCAATCCGATTTGTTGAACCCTTCGGCTCAACAACGGTCACCTTAAAACGACCCCCAGAGGTGTAGGGTTTAGGGTTCCCTAGAGGTTTAGGTTTAGGGCTTAGGGTTACCTAGAGGCTTAGGGTTTAGGGTTACCTAGAGGTTTAGGTTTAGGGCTGGGAATTACCTAGATAGGGTTACCTAGAGGTTTAGAGTTAACTAGAGGTCTAGGGTTCGGGTTTAGGGTAGATTCCGAAGTTGAACGGTTTCTTAGGGCTCCAAGTATACAAATAGTACTTGGCTTGGGGTCTAAAGTCTACCAGGGTTTCGGGTTTGGGGAAGCCCCTAGTTGATGAAAGGTTCAGGGTTTTAGGGGCTTTGGGCTTAGGGTATGCCCAATACTCCAATTCTTTAGCCCTGGACCCTTCCAACTGGTGCTAGATCGCGGTCAGGTCTAAAGCTTCAGGGATTTAGGGTTCAGGATTTAGGGTTTAGGGTATTGGGGAGGCACAAGGCCATACCAGTCTTCATCAGTCCGTAGGAGAGCGGAGATTCTGAAGAACTCAGTTGTAGGCCTGAGTCTCTTTTCTACTTCGACTCAGGCTTTCCGAAAGACTAGAAGTCCATACAGCAATACTTACATTTTCCGGGAGAAGCACCTGCCTGCAACTCTGTTTGGGGGAGTGGGGATGAGTGTTTCGGGTTGCGGGTGATTCTGTAAGTGGTTCCTGTTCACGGACCAGGGTATGTACTCTGTCTGTTTTCCTAGAGGGAATTTCCATCGGACCCTTCCGTTATGACTTCAGGCTCACTGGTAGCCTTTTCAAAGTCCCAGTCTAGGCGCCCCAATAGATGAAGCCAGCAAAGGTTGCCAGAATTCTCGAATTCCAAGTGTCAAAGTTTGAGTCTAATGGACAGCCCACAAGTGATCCCCAGCCTCGACTGCTAAAGCCCTTACACCCAAAACCTCCAACTCAACCCCAAGCAGTGACACGACGACCACGACTACTGCCAGCAAGCATGCAATCACCCAGCGATTCCCACATCCTATATAAATCAAGCCAATATCTCCAACAGGCACATGTCTTTCGTCTCGTTAAAAGAGTGTCTGTTCTTCGACATGACCCCTTCTCAACTTACGGAAAGGCTGATAATCAACATCCCTTGCGAAAGCTATTTTGGGGGCTCCTTGGGTACTAGCTCATTAAACTCTCCAAAACCCTAAACCCTAAACCCTAAAAGTCCCCCCTAACTCCTGCCTTCAGCTCCCCTTGCAGGGAAGGGAGCGAACGGACGAGGTTGGGCCCGTACGGTTGATGATATAAATCCTGCATTACCTTAAGGACCTTAAACTATGGGAATTATGGTATAATCCTTACTATGGGTAATGAGGGACTTATATCATCAACCGATATATCATTGAAGAGATGTCCGGGTTGTGATCGTAGGGTTTGTACAGGAGTTCGTGTCAGGGAAGTTCCAGAGTTTCGCCTGGGGCCCCTAGGATTTAGGGTTTTGGATTTTGGGTCAGGGTTTAGGGTTTAGGGTTTAGGGTTAAGGGGTTTTGGGTCAGGGTTTAGGGTCGAGGTTGTGACAGAGGAGTTTTGTGAAAAGGACATGTTTAAACGGTTCAGGGGCTGGCTTTTACGTGTTGAAGGGGTCCAATGCGTCAAAGGGCTCAGGGTTTTGCCTTTTCATTCATTCCACACGAAAGCCAGCCAAAACTAACAAAATCCTTTCAGAATCCTGTTGGAAACTTCACTAAAGCCAAAACCCCGAGAACCCAGTCAGCCAGGGGATGTTAGGGTCTTGGATGTGGGACGAAGATGGGTGTTGGCTTTGGGCTTTTTGGTCTTGGAGGTTTGGAGCTTAGGACACAGTGTCTTGGGTATTCCCGAACTTTTTGGGGGAGGGGGCTCTGCCTATGTTGCTGGGAAAGAATGGTTATTTTTCCATAAGGTTCTCTAGAGGGCGGCCCTCTTCTTCGGAGGCCTTGTTACTTGATCCTCTGAACAACCCTAAGCCCTTTAAACTTAAGTCCTGCACCCCAAGCAAAAGAGTTCGAAGCCTAAACTCATAGATCCTAAACCTCATAAGACAGAAGCCCATCGATTCCTTCCCGAAGTTTGCAGGAAGCTCCTTTTGGTACTTTCTCTGAGCCGGTCAGAGGAGGTTGGCTTGGGGTTTAGGGCACAGGGGTTTTAGAAAGTTAGGGCTCTCTTTTGAAGGCTTGTTGTTGTAAGGATCCTACAGAATCCTATTATCTATGGTTCTTGATTAAGGTCCCAATTTGTCTGAAACTCCCGGATAGTGGCATGAGTAGCTAGTGGTGCCCTTCCTTAGGTTCCCTTGAATATAACCCTAAACCCTAAACCCTAAAGGAACCCTAATAAGCCCTAATCCACACATTTTACAGTAAGACCCCCAACACAATGAGAGACTCGTCTGGTCATATTCTAGACTCTGCATTTTGTGCACTGGTTCAAGTTCAGGGGTTTATTCTGAGGACTCCAAAAGGGATGAAAATTGCGAGAACTACCCTAAACTTATAATTCGGGTTTGAGGTTTAGGGGGGCATGCTGTTCCAAACTTATTGCTTCTACATGGGTTTGGGGATTCGCAGTTGAGGGCTTCCGGGTGAGAGAGTCACTTTTGAAGGGAATTGGGTTCTGTGTGTCGTTTGTTTCGGAAGATTGCCTAAGTAGATGCATGCACAGGAATAGACTCAAAACCCTAAGCCCTAAACCCTAAACCCTAAACCCTGCATTTCTGCAGAGATCTCGTGGATCTGCTCTCAATCAAGTCGGCTTGATTCCGTCATTCAAGGTGTTGGGCTTTGGAAGGCGTCCGGTGGCATCTTTGCAGCTTCCTAAAACCCCCCAAGCAGGTAAAATAATGGCCCAATACCTATAAAGGGCTTCCTAAACCCCCCCAAAGTATAGGTAAAATAATGGCCCCATACCTATAAAGGGCTTCCTAAACCCCCCCAAAGTATAGGTAAAAGACTGGCCCAATACCTATAAAGGGCTTCCTAAACCCCCCCACAGTATAGGTAAAAGACTGGCCCAATACCTATAAAGGGCTATTATTCTACATACTTTGGGGGTCCAAGTTCTCGTGTATTCAGGGTGAGAAGACCGGGTTTAGCATGGGGTCCCGAACTGTGGAACTGGTACCGCTGCGCATTGACTTGTAAGGATTATAGGTAGACGACCTGGAGTAACACGCACATATATATATACATATATATATATATATACATACATACATACATGTATGTATGGGGGGGGCGAATAACTGGACATAAGATCAACCTACTGTTATATAGGCTCCGAAGCTCCAATTATTATTTTTCAGGCCCCCGCATTACTGCCGGAAGCTTTTCATCAGCTGGGAGGCGCCTCCTTTGGGCGGCTGGAGCGGCATTGCCCTGCCTTGCCTGTTTGAATCACCGTTTCAGGGTTTTTAGGGTTTGAGTTTATGGAGTTTAGGGTTTGGGGTTTATAGGGTTTAGGGCTTATAGGGTTTAGGGTTCAGGGTCTAGGTTTCGGCTTTGGGGACTTCGCTGGCATATGTTCGGAGGGCTTATGGTTTGAGCTTCAGTGGTGTTTACAGGCTTCCTTTGATTTCCAGGGCGTTGTCTTACCGTTGAGGAATTCAACGGGTCTGCTCTTTACAACGTACAATTTTAGACAACAAGTGTCCTCCAGGATAATAAATAACCTCAAACCCTTGGGAGATTAGCGCAAGATCGTGAACGACAGCGCAAAACCAAGCGAGGCAAGATCGTAGCTCCCAGACTTGCGCGATAGATCCCGACCCCTGGGCCCCAACAGCGAACTCCGGTTTAGGGTTTAGGGTTTAGGGATTGTTGAATGACCGAAACAATGGCGATAAAACTGGGCTCAGTGTGCTCACGACGACCCTTGCCAGGCACACCGGCGAACATCTTCGACGAGGCACAGTAGACGAACAAAATCATGAGTCGCATCCTCGAAACCTGGATTTGTGACGAACCTTTCTGGCACTTTGTACTTGTATGGCTCCTTCTTATACCACTAGGAGAAAGAGCAACTTTTGCAAAGTCAGGAAGCCCAAGAAAAAGGTACCCACAAAAAGACCTTAGATGGAAGGATCCATACTTTATCATGACCCCTAAACAGGTGTCTTTGGTTTTCAGAAAAAAGTGTAGAAATCTGATTAGAGCTTACCCCATCCCACCCACAACGATTAGGCGGGGAATGACAATACGGACTAGAAAGATCAACGGTCTATACATAGTATCCAGGTAATTCCTCTTCATTGCTTTGGGTCACCAGTCTTATCTTATAGGATCCCAACCCCCGCGACTGGTTTTACTAGAAAGAACTGCACTGGATACTATACCCATACTGTAGGTAATCCCTGAGTTGGCAGACTCGTGTGAAGTCTGGCATCGGCGCTTCGTTCAAGAAGTGGAACCACCAGACAGCTTGGATCTAATATAGCGGCCTTAATAATTACCTATACTATTTTGGGGGCTCCCTTATTATAAGTATAGTATAATGGGCCCCCAAACCCTATTATTTCTAATCATTGAGGTCCCTATACTAGGGTTTTCGCTTTCAGCTCCAAGCCAATTCTCATAGATCTCATAAAGCACACTTGCCACAGCCCGAAGCCTTAATCCCGAAACCCCACAAGCCCTACAGAAGCCTCTATCAGACCCTATGCAGTCACGAAACCCATCCTGCCTTATCGAACCAAAAAAGAACAACAACAGCTTTGTAAAACCTGATACAGTCTCCTCTAAAGCCATGAAGCATCCAGCTTCAAACCCATGACTCGCGACCCCCGCCCGTCCAGTCTCCTCACGGCGATTCCGTTTCGGACGTCGACTCCCTCGCGCGGAGTCCTACAGCACTTTTTCTTCCGGTATATCTGTAGGATCGGGGTTTGGGGTTTATGAACTTGTGAATTCGGTACCTCAAGATTCCAACACTGGGATTGTTGGAGGTGGTCCCGCAACTTCGCCCTGCGGTAAGAACTCCCGATGTTGACTTGATGACTTCCTTACATATTCCCTTAAGAAAATAGGTTTTTGAGCTGCATGTACGTATTGCCTGAAGTTTAGAGAGCCCCATCCTATGACTTCAGAATTATTGGGGGAAGTTTCTGAGAACCCGGCAGGCTGTTGGGAGTTGGGGCGAACTATGGCTTGAAAAGTGCGTTTTGAGAAGGGCTTTCATGACTTGTGTAGGACTGGGGTCGGTTGTGCTTTGGTGATCTCATTTACGAATGTTTCTTGGCGGTAAAGGATCCGGGTTTGTGGGCTTGTTTCTTGATATATCGGGTGAGGCTATTCATTGTAGTCTTGAAGTGCATATGTGGGAACACCGTGTGTTTTCGGGTCTACTTAGGTCCCATACATTCCTGAACCTCTGAGGTGTGTGACACGAAGTCCCGCGAAAGCAGCTTCATCAGCGCGGCAAGCTGAGCTTTAGTCGTCACCTACTTCTAAGGTTTTTGGGCTGGCTTAACCATGTGTCATACCCCTCCAGTACCTACGCATAATCAGTTGGAGGCTTGCTTTAGCTATCTACTGCTTTACACGCTTGACCCTCAACCCTAAACCTTGTCAATCCAGTTCAACGTACCACCGCCTTTCTTTTGTAGGGTCCTACTCATGAGCCCGGTGGTTTCCTGGAAGGCATATGGGAGATCATACAGGCCTCTGCAGAAGTGGTATGAGTAGAAAGTCTAGACTCTCAATTTTCCCGAGACGTATACATTATCGCCTTGGGGGGGTCAGAGGTTTACCCTAAGGCTCGAAATGGCCCTATAGCCTGGTATAATATGGTCTTTAGGCCCAAAGGCCTTAAACCATGAGTCCTTAGAGCCTTAGGGTTAAAGTTTAGGGATTTGGGTTTAAGGCTGAGGGCGCCTCAGGGGGAGTCATCCTACATAGGTCTAAAAAGCATAACTCACTCGTGGGCAGCCAAGCCCCTTTATGGTTGAAGAGTTGAATGTCATGTAGCACAGGGACATGAATTATAGTTATGGACATATAACATGCGATTCACGGGTGTGGTCTTACTTGTTCTTGACGCCTCTTGACCATTTGCTTGGCGGTTCGGCGTTTAGGTTGCTTGGCATGGTGCCTGCCCTCTCAGTGGAGTTTACTTCCCCGCGAAAGTGTTTTCGATAGGTGTCCGTACGAACAAAGTACGTGCACCACTTCCTTCACTGGTACTCGCCCCTTCAAATTGCTGCAAGCCCTCAGCGGCACAACACCTTGTGCTTCTCAACCATTGAGCCCCCTCCGACAACAACCGATGTATATCAGCCGGATTTGGCAGCATCAGTTGGCCCTTCTACAAAGTGAGTACCCATACTGACACAAACGAAGCTCCATGTTGTCATGTCTCCTTACCAAAACCCCTAAATCCTACGAGAACAGACTGGAAATCTCCCAACTACACCCCCAGTTCATATGGGTGGTTGTCAAAATAACGGCCCCCCTTTTTTGGATCCTTACTATAAAACGGCACCTATTATTGAGGGTACCCAAAAAGGGAACATCATTTTGACAACCACCCATATGAAGCCTTCACAGTTACCCTGATGGATCCCTTTACAGTGAACCCTTCCCTGGCCTCTTGGAAGAGTTAAGGCCCCCGTAGAATCCCGGTATCTTCAACTCTCCGAGGGGCGTATATTCTACTATAATTATAATGAGGAAGCCCCAAGACAGTATAGATAATTATTAGGGGCCTTATACTAATCTCGGTATCTTCAACTCTCCGAGGTGGCTCGGGGAGGCAGTTTCTTTCTGGACCGCAGCCTCTCCGAGCGTGATGCCAAGGGCTGCGAGGAAGAGAAGGAGGCAGGCAGGTTCCGTAGTGTAGGGGCCTAAGGGCACCGTAAGGCTTGCTATGAGGGATCTATAAGGATACTATAATATAGGGGCCTTTTAGGGGTTCCTTATTATAATTAAGGTTTAATAGACACCAAAGCCCTATTCGAATCATTAAGGCTCCTGTATCAGCCAGGTTCCGTACGGCTTGCTCAAGAAAGCCAGATTCTGTAAAGGCCTGAAAGGCTTTTATGCCCGAACTGGCTTGTATGAACTTGGGGACCTCGAATCGTTACAATTATAGCCTGCGATCAGGTTGAGGGTATGCTTCGCCCCAGACCATCAAGTGTTCTTGTCCAAGAATTTTCCCGCCAGCCATCAATCCTAAGCATATTTTACCGGATTCGATATCAGAAGAAACGTTATAGTGAGTGAAAGGTTGGATTGATTTATCAAGCCAACTGAGCTTTTCTGGCGCATGTGGACTTTGATTGGTTTCTGTATACCCCAGTGTCAGAGCGAAAGAGCGCGGGAGAGAGAGAGAGAGAGAGAGACAGAGAGAGCCAAAAGATTTATGCCCTGTTCCACTTGCTGCGGCCATGCCAGTCAAGAGATCTTAACACTCGAGAAAACGTGTTTTCGAGCGGGATTATGGACAGCACGTCCTGCGAAGTTGTTTAGCAAGGCTTGCGCAGTTTGTTACCAAAACTTGCTGAAGACTCAACGACCCGGGCCGATGTACTGAGTCCTACTGTGCTATAAAGAAGGCCGCGAAGAGTAGTTCAAGAGCTCGGCGTGAAGGGGAGCTTAGACCTCTTTGAAATCCCAAGATCCCGCGAAACTTACGACCCCGAAGTCTTAAGCATGAAAACATTCAAGCAAGGTTCAGGGTTTAGGCGAAGGGAGACTTGAGGAAGAGGTTTCAGAGGTTCGTGGGATTTAGTCTTCTTGCAGCTGGAACTTGAAGGCTTTCGGATAGAGTCTCCGATTCCGAGCTTGCAGTTGTAGTTTAGTCTCATTCAAGGCAGGGTTCAGGTGTTCAGGTTTAGCGGCTTCATCTAGGACCTAGAGTAGGCCCTTATTCCCTTTTATAGGGTTCAGGTTCCCCTATAAGCCCCTTTAAACCAAAAAGGGCACCCTTTTTATTCCTAGGTTATTCTTGGGTCTAGTCATGGTAAGGAGTAGAAAGCTGCTTAGGCGGATTATTTGAAGGGTTTTTGCATGACCGGTAAGCCGTCTGTTTATTGGATGAGACCTTCCTTATGGTTGATTTGGGAATAAGTGTTTTATGGCATCAAGTCGCATACACCAGCATGACGCCAAGCACAAGGCCCGCCTGTCCAAGAGCTTACACAGCGCGCTCCGGCCCCACTATGGACCTGAAAGCCAACCCGGTAGATAGGTACACTAACACACACACACACACACCCTCAACCCTGAGACCCAACCCTGAAACCCCAAGCACCATGGAACAGCAACCCTTCCGCCCCTACTTCATAGACCGTATAAGGTTGAAGCTAGAACCTAATCCCTATTGCAGGAGCCTCCAACTACTCAGCAACCTCACGAACAAAGCTCCGCTGGCAGGAACCAACCCTCGCAGCATTGCGTGGCGGCTGGGAAACCAAGGCCTGCAATTCAGGGCTGCCGGTCCTGAAAGTGGACAGTCCTCACCCCTATACAGCCTGAATGCCCTAGACCGTGAGCGTGAACTGCCTAAAGCCCCAAGACCTAAAGCACACCACCTAACTCAAACCATGCAAACCCTGTGATCCGGATACCTTAGAAGCCCCGAGCCAAGCACGACGCAAATCCCACAACAACCCAGAATACTAGAACTCAGTGGGGCTAAATGTTCGGATGCTTCGCAGGGTCAGTTCCTTACTGGTTTCCAGGGTTGCCTTAATATGATCAGTTTGTAACGATTTATAGGGTTTGGGGCTACAGGTACTTCCTCAAACGGAGCACTCGAAGCTGCTTATGTATCCGTTTTTGGTGGCCTTTAGATAGCATGTTTTGCTTTGGTCGTAAATCTAGCAAGCTACTTAGATCATGACAAATCCCTAAACCCTAAAAGGCTGGAGAATGCAAACAAAGCCGGCTTAGTCGCTCTTCTTGCGGTTTCTATCCAGGCAGAGGAAGAGGAAATCTTCGAAAGCCTGGGCCTTAATGTAGGGGCCTTCATAAGCAGAATAGGGTTTGGGGTATAGTATAATTACTATAGCAATACCCCCCAAAACCCTAGTCTGATTATTATGCTCGAGGTTGTGGGGCCATGAGGCCTCGAACTGAGGGCTTTCGAGAAGGTTTACATGAGAAGGGGTTCTGTGAGGGTGCATGTGCCTGTGCTGATGCTATATACTTCGGCCTCCAAAGCGGTTCCTCACGTAGTTTCCTTCGTTGCGGCCAAAATCTGGGGCTTCGGCGTTCGGGTTTCAAGCATTCCGGTGTCAAGATTTGCGAGTTAGGGCTTGGAATGATCAAACCCTAAACCCTGGGCCCAAAGCCCTAAACCCAAAAGCGTATGTTCCTGGACCACAGCTAGACACCGCTTTCTTGTGTGCAGAGGTTGCAACAAAAATCGAATTATTCTTAGTCAGTCCCCGAACCCTAAACCGGAGACGTCATGCCAGGTCTTCATACGTTTGGGTTTGCAGAGCGTTGGATTTAGGTGCGTTTGGGGTTTAGCATGTTTTTTCATTTGCTGCACCTTCGGAAGCTGGGAAAGAGGCACAACATCCTGAGGACGTCGATTCGCCTCCGCCTCCCTCCGACTGCTGAGGCTTGTGCAGAAAGACGGCCCGTGCAAACTTAAGAGCAAATTTTGTGCGGTCTGTCGATGCGATGTGTGCGCCGCAAAGGGAGATTGCGAGAAGAACGAGTCGGGGGAGCTCGCTTCGTCAAGCTCTGCAAGACCGGCAGGGAAGAGTTCGTTGACTTCATCCCATCCTATGTAAGGCCCAATGGTAAAACACGCGGCAAGTACTCGCAGTGCCGCAGATTCGACTTGGCCCGCTACGAAGAAGCGAAGCTGAGGACAATTCAACTCGCTGTTGGGGGGCGGTTCACAGGGCCAGTTGAAACACTTGATGCGAAGAGCCCAAGATCTCCCCCTAACCCCTCAACCCCAACCCTTTAAATCCTAAACCTCTAAACCCTGAGCTCTAAACCCTAAACCCTATACCTCAGCGATGAAGGGCAAGCAGACGAAGAAGGCGAATAATGAATAATGCGGGGGTTCAGGGGCTTTGAGATCGCAGAAAAGCATGGCTGCCTTCAAGGCAACGAGGGTGTCGAGATAATATAGACATCTTAATAATGAGAATAGGGTTGTTGGGCCCAATACACTATGTATATATAGTTCAATTGCATTTTTAGGCCCTTGTATTACAACACCAGGGCTGACAGAGTCTCGCGGCGTCAGTCGTAGTGTCATATTCTTCCGAGGTTGGAGTGCAGGGACCAAACAGACGAGGGCCCCGAAAAGTACACTTTGGCTCTAATATAGGGGCTCCCCCCTCCCGAAGGAAAAGACTAAATCCACTTGTGCCTTCATCCTAACCCACCCCCAACATAAATAAAACCCCTAGACCACTGACCCCTAAGGGTCCATGTACCCATATAGCATATACTTCGGGCCCAATGTACCTATATAGGGAGTACTTTAAGGCCAATGTATATACTATATGAGTACATAGACCCTTAGGGGACTGTAATCTACTACTACCATATTACTATCATATTACTACCACTACGATTACTACCATATTACTAGTATTATAACTACCATTCTTCCCCATTGACTGTAATCCTGCTGAGTAGGGGTCCATGTACCCATATAGCATATACTTTGGGCCCAATGTACCTATGTAGGGAGTACTTTAAGGCCAATGTATATACTATATGAGCACATGGACCCTTAGGGGACTGTAATCCTGCTGGGAAACCCGGGACTCGTTGGGGCCTTTGCTGAGCGACTGGGAAGCCAAGGGCAGGGCTCCTCTGTGTCCTTTCAGCTCTTCCCAAGCAAGGCAGTCGGGTCAGTGCGTAGGGATTTAAGGTTTAGGGTTTAGGGATTTAGGTTTTCAGAGTCTACAGGGCCAGAACTTATAGGGTTTGTGGCTAGGGGGTTTAGCAAATAGGGGTGTGCTTCTTTGTGCTTTTAAACCTTCGAACCTCAGACTTTCCCTAAACATTGATAGGGGCGGATTCTGGAGGGTGGGTTTTGGATGTAAGATGTTGGAGGCTACAGGCTGTAGGTTTATACCCCGATCCCCCCATCATGCCCACGGCAGGAACTGATTGAGCGTTGGTTGTTGTGGGCTTTACATTTTACGGCTGAGGTTTTTGGAATTGAGGGGTTCGTCCGGATCGCTGGTAGGGTTTGGGTTTTCATGAAGATGGGAGACAGTTTCTAAGTCAAGATGCAATGACCCATATAGATACCCCTTGGCCAGCCCTTCAGGGCTCTACCTGTAAACCGCCCAAAATATTGTAAGCTCGTATGACTCTTTCAATATCATTGTGATGTAGCGGACCTATACAAGCCCCGTTCGGGTATCTGGGGCTTACTAGGCTACCTGAAGAATACAAAACATTCTGCCGTACTTGAGTTTGGGGGGTCTACATCTGCTGCCCTAGGCTTCTGTGACGGTTTAGGGTTGGGTTTGGGGTAACAACCAGATAGTAGTAGTTGTTGTTTAGATCGGGATTCGTGGAATTAGGGGTACCTCATTTTGGTTGGGGGCCTGTAGACTCAGGATCCTACCCTTAGGTCTGTGTGGGGCCTTTGGGTTTGGTGTAGTGGTCAGTGTGGCTCGGGTAAATACCCAGAGGCTCCAAAGCAGTTCCCTTTTAGGGTTACCTTATAGGATTCTAATTATGAATCCCAAAAAGGAACTACTATGGAGCCTATGGGTAGTCACTGGAGCAGGCCCGCGCAGACTGTCTGGCGAAGGGTTTTGGAATGGGAGGCTCTCATCAAACTTGCTCAAGCTCTGAAGACAGAGAGCTGCGCTCGCCGCAAAATAGTTGAGGACCAAGGACGCCCAAAAAGTTGATGATCAGCAAAGAAATGACCGAAGTGGATAGGGGGCGCTCTGCAGAAGAGATGCTCCTGCAAGCCGTCTGTGCCAATGAAAAGACAAACGTCTCAGCACTGAGGTTGTTGAAACCGCGTTGGGCCGTCTCGGCCCTCTTATCCGTGATTTCAGCGAGGATGTTCCCTGCAGTCCGTTCTCCGGGAGCCGGGGGATGTGCTTTTTCCATGTCAATATATTCGTCGACTTCGGCAGAGTCATCCACCATTGCGGCCAGAATCATCCACACATACTTCCGGGTCCACATTTTTGTGTGGGTTGTTTGTTTGTTTCCACAGTTCTCCCTAGTCACTAGATATCTGAGTCCGTTCATTCGTCTGTTCTTCGTCAAAACATATGCATGTATGTACTTATGTAAATGTGCTTTGTCAGGTGAATCATTTCACATTTTCGGTCCTGTGCAAATCCATAAGCTCTTACAGTAGCAAATCACAAAGATATATCCCGTCTATGATTTGCGGGGATTAGTTGCCCGAGATTTCTTAAGGGTAGTGATAAGATTCCATTATAGTCATAGTCTAAGCAGCATTTCCCGAAAACCCATGTTCGTTGATAAGCCCCCTATTTTAGGGTGGTGGACCTTAAACCCTACCCGGACACTAAATAACCTACCTGTTGGGGGGGGGGGGGTTATTTGCTATGATCTCCTCATATAAGTCCTTCAAAAGTCAGGTTCCCAAAACCCTAAACCCTAAGCCCTAAATCGAGACAGGCTTCCTTTGACTCGCCGCTTCAGTTCCATTTCTGTCCAACTAAGCACCCAGTCGCCCTGGTTGACGTGGGCTTCTAGGCAGACCTTCCCAACATTCCAGGAAGTCGGAAAGGGACATTCATGGTTCCTCAAGGACGCGAATAGGAGCAACAAAAGACCCGTATGGAGAAACAGATTTCCCTCTTTAAGGCCCTGCCATCCTTCACATTGGATTGAGGCTTTCAGGGTTTAGGTTCAACGTTCAAGGATGTTGGTAAGGTGGGATGAAGGGTTTAGGGCACAAGCATAGATTTGGGATAATGTGTGCAAGAGCTGTAGCTTTTTCCATCAAGCAACAACCATTTGCACCAAACGGCGCCCACTAAAACCACCTACCCCAGTGACCAGGCGGACGAAGACGCAAGCCGTGCGGCACCCGGAATGAAGTCCGAAGTCTGGCTTCCCTAAGTAGTTCCTTTTAGGGGTTACCTTATAGGATTCTATATATGAACCCCAAAAAGGAACTACTTTGGGGCCTTAGGGTAGTCTGCCAGCCATCCTGTAATAGTTTAGGAGTTTATTTGCGAAAGGTCTTAGACCCACAGCTTTCTTAAAACTACCATAGCCTACCTGTTCAAGAGACCGCGGTGTAATTAAAGGGTTATACGGCTTGTAGTAAGGACCTGCAAAACATATCGGCTATAGAGTAGTGTCGGCATGGTCGAGCATGGACCAACCACATCACAACACCTGCGATCCTCAAGCCCCACCGCTCTGATTTGCAAAAAACAGCTATGAGCCTTTGATAAGTCATGATAAGTCAACGTGCATACAAATGTTCGTAGGTGTTTGTTCCCCTCTACGCCTCTACCCCGAGGCCCCAAAGTAGTCCCTTTTTGGGATTACCTTATAGGATTCTCTACATGATCCCCCCAAAGGAACTACTTTGGGGCCTTTGGGTACACCCTTCATTCCTGGATTTGGTTCAGGTGCTCTGCTGTCGTCGCGGAAGCAGATCTACAAGCCCGGAACTCTAGAGGGTCTCTTCACTCTATACCCAAACTCCCCAAAGTAGTTCCTTGTTGTTCATATTTAGAATTCTACAAGGTATTTACAAACAGGAACTACTTTGGGGCCTATGGGTATAGAGCATGTCTTCAACAAGATACTTGCACAGTGAACTTGTGCTTTCAACGGGATCCGGCATGGCAGTTTCCGGCAATTCTGCAGTGACGAACCACGTTCAAGGTTCGGTCTAGCATGTTTGGTACCTGCTGGCGAATTCTCGACACCTCTTCTAACCCCTAGTCCTCTATACGGCTATACTTATGCGATCCCCAAATGATCTGTTTTATACCCCCCGAACTGAAGTTAAGTCGTTTAGGCCGCCATTTTGTAGTACAAGATTGTAGAGCATTGGGCATAGGAGCTTGATAGCTATGATAACCATGCTTGGGTGCTTTCGTGCATTTGCTGGTCTCAGGGATCCTCACAGATTAAAAGGGTCCTGCGTTTGGTGTTGTGGGGTTTGCTGGGGCATCCTCTGGACCCGGCCTGCCCCGTTGTTAGGGGAGCAGGCCACGACGAGAGGGAACAGGACACTAAGACGCGGCGCCGGATTTGGAACATCAGCGAGCCCGATCGACTGCTGGATTTCTTCCTCCCTCAGGATCAAGACCGTGGCGACGCGTCGCAGTCGCCAGGAGGAGAAAAATCTCCAGTCTCATCTGGAGCACCTCAAGCACACCTACCGCCGTTGGAGGTGTGGCTTGGTGAGGGTGAGGAGAGGAAGATTTACAGCTCGGATGGGATCTCAGCGTGAGCGCTGCCACGTCCCCTGCAGACAAAGTTTCGGGTTCCTTCATGAATTCCGTCAAAGGGATTCTTGGGTGTTTGAAATTGAGGGGTTGAGGGTTTAGTATTACAAAGCCTTTGTGGCTGGTATGTAGGCTCACTAAGTGTTTTTGTTTTCAGGGTCCCAGTGATCTCCTTGGCAGGGTCTGAAATCCTATAAACCCTAAACCCTAAACCCCTAAACCCTAAACCCTAAAACCTATACCCTAAACCCTAAACCCTAAAACCTATACTATAGGGAGAGCCCTTGAGTCTGTTTCGGGCCTGAGCAGTCTTAGTTCTGAGGGCCTCAATACTGTTGATGGACAAAATCCTGCATTACCCATACTAGGACCCAGAGTCGGCCCTTATTCCCTTTTTTGAGGGTTCAGGTTCCCTTACAAGCCCCTTTAAACCCAAAAGGGCACCCTTTTTATTCCTAGGTTACTCTTGGGTCTAGCATAATATGGAATATACCATAATTCCCATAATTTAGGGTCCTTAAGGTCATGCAGGATTTTGTCCATCAGCAGTATCCCCTACACCCCTCAACCCCTATACATCCCTCCAAGGCTTGTAATGTAGGACCCTTATTAATACGACAAACTTCACGCCTTATAGATCGAATCCAGGTTCGAGCCTTGCAGAGCCCGTGAGAATCGAACCCTTCTCGGACCCGTTTAGAGCGCTTTAGAACTTTAGAGGGGCGCTAGTATCGGGGCCTCAATACTTAGAATAGGGTTTCGGGATAAATTATACTAGTCGAATTATAAAAAGGAGCCCCCCAAAAAAAACCCGAACCCTAAGCCCAAAATGCTAGGGCAACGAAAGCCTTCGGTGGACAGGCGCTTGCCTCATCGCTCGTCCTTCCCTTCGCCTGGTGGATGCCTATGAAGGAAAGCCTTTTGGGTTTCTTAGGGGTACTTAGAAATAATTTTTAAGTTTTGGCGATTATAATCCCTAAGAAACAGCTAAAGCTATAATTTTTGCTAGGGTTCTAAGTTCAGTATAAGTTTTATGTAGGGATAGGGTTCAGGGATGTTTAAGGTTTACATAGAGTCAGGTTTGGAGGTCTAAGGATTGGGGATTGAGGGTTTAGCGGTGTAGGCTAGGGTTCAGGCTTCAGGAGGTAGGGCCTGCTTGGTGCGCAGGTTTAGGCTTAAGGAAACTCGAAGACGGTCTTGGTGTTTGAAGGGTCTAGGGCCAGCTTGTGAAATTTCAGGTGCATGCGATGCTGTCTTTGTGTCTATCTCTGGGGCATCTAAGATTTCGGATGCATCCTCTTGGTATTTAGGGTAGATTCATGACTCAGCGGCTAAGCATCCAAGGTTTTGGAGGTATGGTCTCGGGATTTGGGGCATACGGCGTATTTTGACGAAGGAGTTAGGCTGCAGGATTCTCCCGTTCAGGAGTCTGAGGAGTTTAAGGCTTCGATAGGAGTTAGGAAGCCCGGTCTTGCAGTTTCGGCCTCAAAATAGACGGCCGACGGGTTTATACCCATAAATCCCTATGAACCCAGATCTCCTTTTCTATACGGCTGATGATATAAATCCTGCATTACCCATAAATCAGGAACCTACCATAAATCCCATAGTTTAGGGTCATAATGGTAATGCAGGATTTATTATATCATCAACAGTAGTGACTCCTGAGGCCGCTACGTCGCGGTTAAATTACAGGTAGGGCGTCGGCGTAGTTGGGCTTAGACCTTGGGGTTTACCCATAGGCTCCATAGTAGTTCCATTTTGGGATTCATAATTAGAATCCTATAAGGTAACCCTAAAAAGGAACTACTTTGGAGCCTCTGGGTATACCTGTACATCGGATGCACTTCCTGTGCCACAGAGGGAGGCGCTCCCACTCCGCAAGGAGCGTATCCGCACACCGAAGTTGCGGCACAACACATCTCCCTGTAGTCTCCATTGTAGTTCCTTCTTTCGGTTACCTTAAAGGCTTAAAGGATCCAATGTAAATTAAACCAGAACAAGGAACTACAATGGAGACTATAGGTCGTATTCAAGTTCGATCGCAGGAAATTGCTGTTGCAGCATCTCGCCGGATCTTCCATCGGGCAAGAGAGAGATTGCCGATCAGCTCGCTATGCGCATGCAGGCAAAGTTGAGTTTCCACCCTACGACTGGGACCTCCACCTTGCTTGTTGCCGTGCCCTCAATGCTGGAGGGAAGATGGTGTAGGAGCCTAAATGATTACCAATACTATTTTGGTGGTTCCTTGTTAAATATACTTTTAGTGAATACACCAAAGTGCTGTTCGAACTATCTTCCCGCTTTCGGCCAATGAAATTGAATGATGCCACGCGCGAGCAGCTGCTGCATGCATCACCACAACATCAAAGGCGTGGCCAACGGGAGATGAATGTTTCGAGCTGCTGTGGGACTGAGAGAACATTAGAGGACCAGTTCCATGTTGTGCCTATAGTCTCCGATGCATTTTTTGCGTTGCTTGATTTGCCTTTGCGCATAGGATCCTTAACATCGAATCGGCTATCCGAGCTTGTGGACAATGCTGCTGTGTAACTGCTATACAAAATCTAGGCACACATTCAGAATCCATTGAAGCGTTTGAGCACAGAATCCACATTAAATTCGGTTCTGGTTTGCCTTTAGGGCTCTTCAGCAGTTTTGGAACGATATGCAGGATTTGATAGGACTGACCAGCCGCCTTACAAGTCTCGTCCCATGAACCTTTAAAGAGTCCCTAGACATGAAACACCCTGAAGTCCCTACATAAGGCTGTTAACATGACACACCAGGGTACGAACATACACCAAAGTCCTAGATCGCAAAACTGTAACCCTTAGCCGTAAGCCCCCTGCACCCCCCTGCAACATCCGACACTGTTATCAGTGCTAAAGAAGTCAGTAACTTTGATAGCAAGGGGTCGATTCAACAATTAGCTATGACATGTTATGACACAGACCCTGAATGGACATGAGAGCTGTGGTCCCTAGGCTCTGAATCACTGAATCCTAAACAACAAACCTTCAACCCCAAACCCCAAATCCATTAAACGACGCAAACCCTGGGCCCTGGACCCTGGGCGCTAACCCCACTATATAAGCCCACCAAAACTCCCAAACTCAGAGCTCCTCTGCTGAGGTTCGCGACGGGCAGGGAAGGCTACGGATCAATTGCTTGGGGAGTTTGTTCAGGCAGGGTAATGTTCTTCATGGGTGTTTCTTGGTGTTATCACGCTCATTATGTCATTCGGGACTAATCGGATTTTATATATGTATACTACAAGAGGTACCACAAAAGGGTGGAAAAAGGGCTGCTTGAGTTTGAGGTTTTGTTGTTGCCGTTGTTTTCGCAACAGTTCACCACCCTACATCTTGGAATGCTTCCTACACTGAGCCAGGTTGCAAATGGCAGCCCCACGATGTGTACTATAGAGCTAACTTTACATAACCTCTACTTGATAAAGGTGGGTTTGACATAACAAGTCGTTTCTTTGAGAGAACATTGGAGGGTACATTCTTTAGGCTAGCATGCCAAATGTCCCATAGCAGGCCGCGCATAGGGTGACAAACTGATGTCAATGCAGCTCTCAAAGAGAGCTATCCGAAGCTTCAAAAAATCGAAGTTTAGGGTTTATAAGGTTTCGGATTCAGGGTTTAGCTTTTTATGTTAGGAGGTTTGATAGCTCAGGGTACTTAACGGGATGACTCGCCTTGCGCAAAGACCCTGTAGAGTTACCTCAAAACACACACCACCTGACCAAATGATAAAACCTATGAGAACCGCATAGAACTCTTATCCAACCTTATGAAATCGTATGAGACCTTTCTCCGACACTCTGCAGAAGCGACGTCTTGTCGCCCCGAGCAGGACGACCCTCGTCAGCTGTTGATGCGCTACTTTGGCAAGATAGTTCGCAGAAAGCTGAAGCAGGTGGGGATTCAGGGTTTTGGGGTTTGGGGTATTTAGGTTTTGTGGGTTTTGGCTTTAGGTTCCAGGAGCCTTCGGTTAGCCCTGCCTGAAGCTGCATGTTAACTCTTCCGGCCTATTCACTGGACCACGAAGTTGCTTACGGTTCAGGTTTTGGTTGTGTCTATGCGACCATTAATTATGCAATCCGGGTCCCCAAAGAGCATCCCTGTTCCGGTTTGGACCTAATTCCCGAATTGTATTTGGCAGCATGCTGAACCACCGGGGATGGCTGTCAACTTTCGTTGAAGCTTGCTTCTCGAAACTATCTGGGGATCCAAAAACCTACTGTTTTGGGTGGTTAGTGACCCACAAATTAAGGGGTCATAAGCTACTATTGTGTAGGGTTCGCGGATACAGGTAGCCTCTTCAAAGCTTGAAGTTAGAAAGCTTGTGTGGGCAATGCTGTTCTTCGTGAAGAGGGACGACCGGACGACCAGCTTTTTTCCGGTGTTCCTGAACGCCGGTGGGGTGATAGTTGTGGCTGACTACGCTGAGACGATGAGTTCCACCACCTCCATCGAGTCCCCTCAACGCGATGACAGGACAGTCGCTCAAGAAGTTTCCACACCACTTCAGGTTGAATGTCACAAACGCCCTTCGTGGAGCACGACGTGTAAAGGTTTCGTAGAGAGTTTTATACTGGCTTGGTTGTGGGCAACCGCTTGTGGTTTGAAGGATGTTGGATCCCACTCCGGGTTTGGGCGGCAGGCCTGTAAGAGTTGAGTTGTGGAAGTGTCGTTGTTGTCGTCGTCTTGTGTTTGTCACGGCAGTGCGACTGTACGGCCCGATCCAACAGTAGTGCGCTCCTCTCATTGCCGGGCGCTTTTCCGACATCATTGCGTGCGGCCTGCTACTTCCTAGTATCCTCAGACTCAGTATCTCCTATACCCCTGCACCTCAAAACACTGCTGCTACGTACGATTTATTTGTTTTACGGCTTGGGTTTGTTGCGGCTTCGAGCCCAGTGTACAGCGTGTTCATGTTTGCGCGTCGGGTATGGCTGGTTTTGGGGCGGCATCTGGGGATTTGTTGTATTCAGTTTCCCTCATGCTCCTGCAGGGATACCTGCACATGGATAGTCTGAGGGGTCCCCGCCTATCATGTTGCACCCCAAACCCTGAGCCCAAAAACCCTAAAACCTGACAACCCAAACCCTGAACCGTAAAAGTACAACACCCAGGTCATGAAATCCCTAAACCCGAAACCCTAAAACCCCTAAACCCTTAAACCGTAACACGCTAAACCCTGAAGCCTAAAATGCTAAAACCTAAACCCTCAAACCCCTAAAGCCCCCAAACTATAAACCCTAAGAGCCCCAAACTCTAAACCCTGGTACCCAGAGCGCGGCTTCGAGAGCTTCGCGCTCCGTCAACTCCTCCTCCATGATGTCTTCCGAGGCGGGGTTGGTGGGCCTTAGGGGCTCGTCGGGCTTTAGGACTTGAGGGCTTGTAGGCTTCAAAGGGATCTAGGGCTTTGCAGGCTATCTAGGGCTTCATGGCTTTGGGGGTCTGGGGGGTTGATTTTCGGTTGGGGGGTTTTGATGCGTCGTCGGCTGCGAAGGTCTTCGGGGGTTCTGGGTCTGGGTTGTTAGTGAGCGTCTGTAGGGCTCATGACGAGTTTTTTGTTGAGTTTATCTGGAGGGTAGTGGAACCTATCTGCCCAATCCACAGCGTCACGAGGGGATTTTGCTAGTCGTACAGCCAGGGCAACTGGTCATCCTGAACCCTCATAAACCTTGAATCGCCAATTCAGGGTTCAAGTGCTTCGTCACTGTTACGCTCCATGGGTTTCATTGCGAATTTGTGTTCAGTTTAAGGGTCCGGTTCTGTGGCACACGGCATGGCACAGCTCGCCTCGGGGACCCCTCGTTGACAAGTAAAATTGGCATCCGAAGCCTTGACCCGTGGATTGCTCCAGTATCTGTTTCGTAAGTTCACAGGCCAACCCCTAACTGAGCCTCATTTCTTCAACTCTAAACCCTGACACCCTGCAGAGTACTGTAGGCTGCCAGGTGTGGTTCGCTAGGACTCGCAATCTTAGCCCCTGAGAAGCGCTTGGTTCCATGCTTCAGTGTCGCAAACCCAAAAGCTTGCAGACTCCAGCAAAAGAGAAAACAAGCGCTAAGCATCGAGCCGTAAAGCAAAACATAGCGAAGCTACAACAGTAAATCTCAAACCCTGGTCATTCAACACAAACGGCACGGAATCAATCAACCGCCATTCCCCCAAAAGAAAACGACGAGGTGAGCCAGGTGAGCACGGTGCTCGCATCGTCGGACTCAGGTGTCCTGGCCTATCTTCGGGAGCAGCAGTGGTCGAAATGAGGTTTGCGTAGCGTGTTTGCATCTTCCACTTATAATATATATATATATATATATATATATACATACATAAAAATATAAGTATATATATATATATATAGTACACACAGGTACTACTTGTATGTGTATATATGTATATATACACATGGTTCATGAAGCTTTCCATCGGGTGACAGCTTCAACAGATGTTTTGGTGGTCGTAGGGTTTGTCTGTATGCAAGCATTCGGGATTCGGGGCTTTTGGTTTTGTGTTCAAGGTTCAGGGATCAGGGTAGGCAAGCAGGTTGTAACACTGATGCATACATATCAAGGCTGGCCAGCAGCAAGCATATTTTCGCATGCGCGCCATCCACCCACCCACCCCATCCGCCCACCAGGCCGACAAGGCCCACCTCTGTGAAGCTACTGTAGTATAATTTTTAGGCCCCAGACCCCACTCACCAAACCCCACAACCCGACAGCCAGAATCAGAAGCCCAGAGCCCGAAGCCAATATTGTCCTAAACAGCTCCTTCACCGTTCTTCGACAGGGACACAGAACCCGAAACATGGAACACCCTAAGGCCACAATAGAACATTACCACAAACCATTACATACACAACAACGGAAGAGATAGCAATATTCTTCATTACTCTAACTCTAAACACTAACATACATATATGTAGTGCTATATCACTCATCACATATTATGAGTTTTGATGTGTGTATTCAGTATCTCATCTTTTGCACTGTTTACTGTATGATTCATCGTGAGTGTCTGTTCTATTCTGTTCCGTTCTGTTATATTATGTGATGATATATACTTATATCCACATACGCCATCATGCTTCACTGGTTTGTTATAGTCCTGTTGTTTTATATCGTATGATGATATATATATATATATATATATATATATACACATATATATACATATATATATATATATATCTACATAGTTCATCATGCTTCACTGGCTTGTTATAGCAACAAGAAGAGCGAGAGCCGAGAGCCAGGTCGCTCCGTGAGCCCGCGGATGTGGAGCTTGAACCTCGAGGCGCCTTTTGGTTTTTTTAACGTTAAAAAACAGATCCCTAAACCCTAAGCCCTAAACCCCTAAACTCTAAACCCTAAACCCTAAACCCTCGAACCTCGAGGCGCTTGTTTTGTTTTTTTTAACGTTCCCTATCCCTCCAGGGACCTTATTATGGGGTCCTTAAGGGGTCTAGGGCCCTAACTATGAGGAACGTCACAAAACAGGAGCCTCCAGGCCCTGGTTTGTTTTTTTTTTAAGGGAACTCCAGAAAGTTGGAATATGGATTAATGGTAGGATCCCCTATAATTTATAATTTACCTTAAAGGGGTTACGATAATGATATTCCAACTTTCTGGCTTCTACTGAAACCTCCAGGCGCTCGCGGACGACGACCGGTGGTGAAAAAGGGTTGGAGTTTGGTTTCAGTTTGGGAGGTGCAGGGGACGGGTTTATTTAGGGCTTAGTGTAGGGGTTTAGGGTTTATTTGGGGGTTTGTTGAGGGTTTAGTGTGAGGGTATAGGGTTTACGGGTCTGTTTACGAGGTTTGTTTAGGGAGTTTAGGGGTTTGGGGGTTTTCGGGGTATAGGGTTAGGCTGGACAAGTAGACCATATGGCTTTCCTTAGAGTTCTATGCGGGTGTTGAAGAGTTTTCACAATTTGTATGCCTTAGTAAGTTGATTTGGGTTTTGGTTTGTGTTCTGGTGTTGGACACAGGAGAGATGCTGTTGCTAAGTATGCGAGGCATTCGTTGGGCATCCCGGAGTTCAGGGTTAGTGCGTGCTTGTTCTTTGGTGTGGGCAGGGGGCATTGTTGTGGGTATTGTGTGTGTGTTTACATTTGTTTGTTTCTGAAGTTTTGGTTTCATTGTTTGATTGTGTTCCTTTTGTTCGGTCATTTTGCAGCGGAGACGGTCGGCCTTCAACAGTTTGTTGAATTTCTGAGTGCTGCAGCAATCTAGTCATTAGGGGCCTTGAGTAGTTTAAATCTTTTTGCTTGTAAAGCGGCTTACAACTTGCTCCTTCTCCCTCTGATGCACCCTCAACTCTAATGACTCTAACGCGCTGAAAGGCCGTAACCAAAAATGGATTCTTCAACTAAGACCACAAAATTCAATACATCACAGTCCAGAGCCGTAGCTTTCTGTGTCCAGTCGTTTTCGCTGCGGGACTCTTGGTTGGGCATAGAAAGACGCAAGTACGTTCTGCTGCGACACTTAGACTTCCCACACTCCTACCCTAAACCCTAAACCCTAAACCCCTAAAGCTTATAAACCCTAAACCTTATAAACCCCTAAACCCAACCCTAAACCCCTAAACCCCTAAACCCCTAAACCCAACCCTAAACCCAACCCTAAACCCCTAAACCCCTAAACCCCTAAACCCTAAACCCTCAACGCCAGGACATCTCAGACCCCAAAGAGATCCTAATAGCTCTTCTTAGGAGATTCCAAGGCCTCAGGGACCCAGACCTTCCAAAATCCCTTAATTAAGGAATATACCTTACATCATATTAAGGATCCTACTATAATTTAACGTATATTCCTTAATTAAGGGATTTTGGAAGGTCTGGGTATGTCCTCCAGACTCCTTAGCCTGAGGACCTGAAATTTCAGGGCTTGTAGGGTTCAGGATTCAGGGTCCTATAAAACTTTAGGATTCAGGGTTCAAAAGACTTCTGAGCAGGGGTTTAGGGTTTAGGGAATGAGTCAAAGCCCTGGCAGCCCCGTGCGGCTTTCCGGCCACCACTCTCCTGGCGGCCACGTCGCGCGCCGGTGCATGGCAAGGCCCAGGAGGTGCCCGGAAACCGGGAAGGAGGAACTGTACTAGAGGGGCCTTAATAATTGGTTTTAGGCTACCTTTAAAAGGGGTCTGAAAGGGCTACGAGAAGGGATCTGTAGTCTGGTTCTATAATTTCGGGGCCTTAATAATAATAATAATAATAATAATAATTAGAACAGGGTTTTGGGCTATACTATAATTATAGTATAGCCCACAATTAATTGTAACAAGGAACCCTAAAAATTGTATACGTCTTTTTTAGGGCGCTTACGTTATTTGGGTCCTGGGGCTCATTAGGAGTCCTGCTGTAGGGGCTATAGTAATTAGTCAGTATTCCTTTCGGCTCGGTCATAGTATAGCCATAGTCATTGTACTAAAGGGAGTTGCTTTTTCCATGTCTTTGCCCGATATTCCGAAGTATTATAAAACCTCCATATTATAAAGGGCTTTCTGATGGGGGCTTGTAAGAAGGCTTCTAATGGTTGCGGGTTATAGAATTGAATACTTAGCTGCAGCCTCTTCTACCCTACCTTTGGCTTGCTTCGGATTGAAGAACAAAAGGTGTTCGGGTGGAAGTAATAAGAGCTTCCTTGAGTACCTGTAGATGCTAGCTGCTAGATGTGACCAGAACGCACAAGATCCAGGGTTCGTGGTCTTATGGAAGGTTGAGGAACATTGAGGGAGCACTGCAAAGAAAAGCTCACCATGAAGAGTTCAGGATCCCACGGCTTAGCTATAAAGGGTTTCGCTCCCATACATACTGAGCCGTCAACTGCAAAACAAACCCCCCCAAGTGCCCGGACATTTCCCAACTACAATCTCAAGAGGAACTAGGACCCAGAGTAGGCCCTTATTCTCTTTTTTGAGGCTTCAGGTTCCCTTATAAGCCCCTTTAAACCAAAAAGGGCACCCTTTTTATTCCTAGGCTACTCTTGGGTCTAGGGAAGCTTCTATGCAGCTCGAAGCCTCGTGCAGACCTCACCCAGGAACTATGTAGCCATGATGTGCTGGACTCTCCTAAACACTCCCTGGTTAAGTGGGGCCCCTTACCTGTAGTCTCCATTGTAGTTCCTTTTTTTGGTTAACCAATGTCATGGTTAGGATCCTATAATAGAGTTTTGGGTTAACCAAAAAAGGGAACTACAATGGAGACTATAGGTATTATGAAGATTGAAGGAGCATCCCCCAATTCAGGTAGAGTGGAGTCTCTGGCAAACTGCAGGAGAAGAGCTCCGACAACACGACTGCCGTCCCCAAGGCTCAGTGGTCGGGTTTAGGGTTTAGGATTTAGGGGTTTAGGGTTTATTAGAGTTGCGTTTTGGGTTTGGGGGGTCGGTCGGGACACCACCCTGCCCCGCTCAAAGCATGCAGTCTTCTAGCTCTTGGTGGCAACGGGAAGCCCTAAATGCATTACTGGGAATGGACGCCACGGTCGTGCCGTGCAGGGGATCAGCCCGGGGGTTGAGGATTTTAGGTTTCAGGGTTTAGGGTGCAGCATGTGGTACCGGAAGCATCCACTTTTGCTTCCTGCCTGCTTTCAGCGTGCCCAGGTGAAATGGCTGTTCCAGTGATCTTGTTCTTTACAGATGAATCCAGAGCAGGAGTGCGGCCCCGGATGCGCCCAGAGGATGTTCGGCAACAGGTTGCGCATGGCACGATCTACTATCTACATCATGAATGAATAGGAATAGAGGCTGGACAGACGTCGGCTGCGAATTCGATAATATTTCCGAGGAAGACGCTTAATCTGACTAGCCCTGTTGGGGCATCTACTGCCTTGGTACACGAACTGCCCGGGGTTCTCCTTGGAAAGGGTGCCTCGCGCGGACCGGACAAGTAGATCCTCAAAGCCCTAAGCCCTGAAATCATAGCATACTAAGCCAACAACCTGAAGCCCTGAAGCGAAAGCACCAACACTGTACTGCTGATGAGAAAGTTTCGCGTCACCCTAGGTATCTTAAACCTAAAACAAACTACAGGAGCTCCATAGTATGTTCCATTTCGATCCTGTCCGTCAGCCGGACGTCCCCGGATGCTCCTCCCAGTATCCTGTGTGCCATTGTCTTCACCGGGTGCCTATAGGACCCAAGCAATTAAGGCGTCTGGGCGCTAACGTACCCTGAAGTACACTAGACTGAGGTTTTGGTTGGGGCTCAGGTCAAACCCTAAACTCTCCACCGCAGCTCATTTTCGACCCTGAGTTGCTGAAGCTGTACCCAGAGGCTCCATAGTAGTTCCTTTTTGGGATTACTTTATAGGATTCTATATATGAACCCCCAAAAGGAACTACTTTGGAGCCTTAGGGTAGATGCATGATTGAATGAATCGCACACCTTAAACCGGACAGAGCTCGACGCAAGGTACCTTATAGGGTTCTTTTTAAGGGTTACTATAAGGGTACTATAAATCTATTTATCGGTTCCTGTGAAAAGGGCTCTATGAGGGCTTAGGGTTTAAGCTCTCCGCCGCGAAACCCTGAGCTGCGAATGCCCTACACCCTACACCCAACTAGACCCATAGCCTGAAAGCTCCGAAGCTTCAATTGAAAATCCCAAAGGGTCCTATGTACGGATATAGTAGGGTGTAGGGCTTCTATATTGGAACTTACTACTATGACTTCGGGAAGTATCCCCCATAACACCTTTGGGAACACGAACGTCTTGAGATCCTTTGGTTTTCAAGTGCCACAAGGCGGCCGGCAACGGCAAAGCGCGCTGCTCTGCCAAAGGCTTCAGACCCTGACACGGTTTAGGGTCTAGGGCCCTAAACCCTAAACCCCAAACCCTAAACCCTAGCCATTCAGACCATTAAGGGTTTTTAGGTTCTATACGGGTTCCAGGTTGGACAGGGTTTTTTGTTAAAGAGCTGTATCGGTTTTTGCAGATGGAAGGGTTAAAGCGCATCCTAAGTATCTGCTTGGCCGGGTCCAGATTCTCATAGGGCGAGCACCTGGGTCTCCAACAGAACCAGGTTGTAGAGTCTTGACTCTAGAAGTTTGGGAGTTTAGGACTCAGGGGTTTAAGGGTGCACGTTTGTGGGGTTTGGGAGTTGAGGGGTTTGGGTCGGAGGGTTCCGGCGTCAACAGCAGCCACTCGACCCTAAACCCTAAACCGAGGAAGGCGGGAACAGAACTTGATTTAGTTTGAGGAGCGATTGCAGAGGCCTTGGGAGGCCCTTCAACTACCCGAGCTGCCAGGTCCTGTTGGGCGAGCATCCATTACCCATAATTAGGCTCTCATAGTAGTTCCTTTTTTGGGATTACCATTCAGGATTCTATATATGAACCCCCAAAAGGAACTACTATGGGACTTCTGGGTAAACAACTGAAGGCTTTTCACTTGTAAAGCATGGCATCGCTCCGCAAGCCCGCGGTATGCACGATGACCGTCATCCGACTGCAAGACCTACCCAGACATTCCAAAACCCCTTAATTAAGGAATATACCTTAAATCATATAAAGGATCCTACTATAATTTAAGGTATATTCCTTAATTAAGGGATTTTGGAAGGTCTGGGTACTGCTTCTTTGCTGGGTTCTTTCCTCTCCGGTTGTCGAACACAGGTGTATGTAGCAGTATGTGGCCTTTTCTAATCATGTGTTCGAACCGGGGTGGCAGCTGCCCTAGGTGCTAGATCCCTGCATCGCATCCCAAACCATCCCTAAGCCCCAGGACCCTGCATTCCGCACACACCCCGTATAGAGCCCTTTAAAGGCCCCTTTTAGAAACCTTTGCAGAACCCGCAAAAAGCCAACTTCAAATCTACCACCTGACCCGGCACTTCCAGTAGGCCACTCGGATGTCGGACGAGTTCCTGGCAAGGCACCGCAACTCAGGGCCCGTTTGGGGTTCAGGGTTTGGGGCTGATGGAAAGGATTCTGGTGTAGGGTTGAGCCGCGGGACATTGCAGATAGGTAATTTGCGCCTTAAAGGTAGAGTTATAAGTACCTTTGCCTCCAAGCCCGTATATTACTACGTATACGACCAACACCCTGCTGAGTGGGTTCATATGGTGTCCACGAGGGTTTGAACCGCTGAGGGTTTAGGGAGTGCAGTGTTTAGATTTTGCGTCCCAGGACAAGGATACGGTAGTGTAATGGCCTTTGCAACCTTACAGACGGGCTCCGCTTTAGCCTCAGACAGGGCGTGTTGTCTTTGTTTTGTTTACATCGTTCCCTGAAGTACTTCTGCTTTGACCTTGATGCCCAGATGATTACTTAATTTCTCTTGCCGGATTACTGTACCAAGGTTAGAGAGGTGTGTGTGCTTGTGAATCAAAATACAGAAACCTCAAGGGTCCAAAGGACCCAATAATTAGGTACTCGGTTTTAGGATAGTAGTTATGTAGGTTACTATTTTGGAGAGTATATGATAATAAGGTACTTGGACCCTTAGGGAAACATACAGCCAACACTTTCAAACCGCTCCTAGCAACCTGTGACTCCCATGCTAGAGAAAAACCCTCCTTGGTGTTTCTTTTAGGACCTTTTTATTCTTGTTTAGGGTTTAGGGTTTAGGTGTTTCTTTTAGGACCTTTTTATTCTAGTTATCCTGAAACTAGATAAAACCCCAAGGGAGTCTACTATGAATCCAAACTCCTTGCCCGAAACCTGGAGGGCTCATAGTTTCGCAACCCGGCCAATTCTGAGCTATGCAGCTCCTTTCCGTGAGCTTGCTCGATTTTGCTGTGAGTTTCCATAAATAAAGACCGGTTTCCGTAAATAAAGTTGACCCGGCCAGAAGCAGGACGACCTTCTCGCCGCAAAGAGGGCTGAATCACGACGAATTACGTCCTTGATTGGATTCCCGGCAAAGTGCTGAGAGTACAAGTCCACCAAAACCTACTACAGAACCTATCTTCAGTTCCCGAAGCCCATCCACCGCGCCAGGTTAAACCTAAAGCTTATACACCCTTTATTCAGAACGCTACAGTAAGCCCTGTAGAGCTGTAATCTTTCGACCACACTTCAACGTTCAGGCTTACGGCATGAGTTTGCAGAAGCTTGTCAGAAATATACTTGCAGCCTGCTAAATCTGTACACTATCACACACACCTATACCCTTTACTCCAAACCCTTCAGCCTAAGCCTGCAAAGCTCTGCATGGACTTGGGTTCGCGCTATGGTTCAATCAAAGCTTTCTTTAAGTGGGACACTAGTGACAGCAGCATCAAAATGGGTCGGAGTGCCTAGCAATGCCCAACATAATTTTCCATAGAGTGGATCCTTTCTTCAATTTCCGGACCTTGATCGTAAAACGGTGAGGGATTGGATATTGCCGGTTCGCAACATGTCGATTCATTTGGAAGTTGGACTGATCAGTGGCAGGAAAGCCACTGTGCGAGCAGACTTGGATGAGACCGTGGGAACGTTGGAACGACGGGCACAGATTGCACTCGGGGTCGGGACAGGGCGTCTCCTGGACTCATCTGGAAGCGTCGTGGAAGAATGTGTGCCGATCAAGAGAGCCAGGATGCAGAATGGTGACTCGCTGACCTTGCTGCGCACCAACACGGTTCAAGTTCAAGCCTCTCGTGACTCATTTGCTGCCATTCTTGGCGATGGATCGGTGGTGACCTGGGGTGATCCTCGCCATGGTGGCGACAGTAGTGCTGTACAAGATCAGCTGAAGGCTGTGCAGCAGATAAGTGCCTGTCCCAGCGGCGCTTTTGCTGCCATTCTGCACGATCGATCGGTGGTGACCTGGGGTTGTGGGCCCTCTGGTGGCGACAGCAGCGCTGTGCAGACTCGGCTCAAGAATGTGCAGCAGATTCAAGCAAAGCGTCACGGAGCTTCTGCTGCCATTCTTGACGATGGATCTGTCGTGACCTGGGGTCATGCTGACTTTGGTGCCGACAGCAGTGCTGTGCAGACTCTGCTGAAGAACGTGCAGCAAGTCCACGCTACTATCGGCGCTTTTGCTGCCATTCTTGGTGATGGATCTGTCGTGACCTGGGGTAACGCCGAGTGGGGTGGCGACAGTAGCAGTGTGCAGTGTCAGCTGAGGAGCGTGCAGCAGATCCAAGCGTCTCATTCGGCTTTTGCTGCAATTCTTGGTGATGGATCTGTTGTGACCTGGGGAAATGCTGAGTATGGCGGTGACAGTCGTGCTGTGCAGGATCAGCTCAAAAATGTGAAGCAGATACAAGCCACAGTCTTTGCCTATGCGGCCATTCTTGACGATGGATCCGTCGTGACCTGGGGTCGTGCTGTCAGTGGTGGCGACAGCAGCCCTGTGCAGACTCAGCTTAAGAACGTGCAGCAAATTCAAGCGTCTTTTTCTGCTTTTGCTGCCATTCTTGGCGACGGAACGGTTGTGACCTGGGGTGGTGCTCACTCCGGTGGTGACTGCAGCGCAGTGCAGACACAGCTGAAGCATGTGCAGCAGATCCAAGCCTCTGAGCGCGCTTTTGCTGCCATTCTTGCCGATGGCTCTGTCGTGACATGGGGTGATGCCGACTGGGGTGGCGACAGTAGCAGTGTGCAGTGTCAGCTGAAGAACGTGCACCAGATTCAAGCCTCTGGTTGTGCTTTTGCTGCCATTCTTGGCGATGGATCCGTTGTGTCCTGGGGTCCTGCTGGTGCTGGTGGTGACAGCAGCGGTGTGCAGTGTCAACTGAAGAATGTGCAGCAGATCTGTGCCTCTGCCGGCGCTTTTGCTGCCATTCTGGACGACGGATCTGTCGTGACCTGGGGTCATGCTGCAAAAGGTGGTGACAGTACTTCTGTACAGGACCAGCTCAGGCATAGATAGCAGCTTTTCTTTCAGTGCTCGCAGCAGCACGCAGGATTTGCACAAGCTCATGAACTACCCGGCCTCGAGGCGCTGATGAGGCTTTGGCAACATGTGCAAAACCCTACAGAACCTACAAAATCCCATTGACTGAAGGGACAGGAGTTTCGTCTACCGTGCTCGAGTGCTTGAGGGACCTAGGCCCTTATACATCCTAAACCCTAAAATCTTAAGCCCTAGAGCCTGCCAGACCCTTAAACCAAAAACCAAACCTGTAAACTCCTAAACCCTAAGCCCTAAACCAGATCATGGAATCCGGTTGCAGGTGTCGCAAACATCGCCCGGGGACCCAGAACCTATCCGAATGATGTTTGATCCGAGAAATGCATGTATATACCTAGATATGTATTTACAAAAATGCAGAATACATACATATATGCAGATTGACACATATGCATTACATATACATATATATTTATAGTATACTAATTGGAAATTTACGGATGCTTTACGGGTCTGGGGCTTAGGGTTTAGGGATTTTTTATTTTGGTGTTTACAGGGCTGTAATAACTTGAATACAATCTGCCGGGTTTCTATGAGTCTTTAGTATCGGGGCAGGAGTTTAGGGGCACTGATAATCATAATAGGTATTTGGGGCTCCTGTAAAGGTTTCGATCATTATCACTGTGAGGGCTTATATAGGTTTGGGAGCGTAAGATAGTATAGGGTCTTGGGGTAAGACTGATACAGTTATTTCATAGTGCGGGGACTATCAGGGAAGATTGCCGCGAGATTACCTCTAAACTCTAGAGAAACTTTAGTACGGCTATAGTAACATACGGGCCTTGGTAATTAGAATCGGGTTTTGGAGCCCATTATACGATAGTTATAATAAGGAATCCCCAAAACCATATTCTAACTATTAAGGCCCCTATAGTACCTGCCTGGAGCTTTGGAGCCCTCGTGACCGAAGAAACCGCAATGCGCTCTCTCAATGCCCTCAAGTTCCAAGTACTTCGGTTGATGATATAAATCCTGCATTACCTTAAGGCCCCTAAACTATGGGAATTATGGTATATTTCTTCTTTTGGGTCATGCAGGATTTATATCATCAACCGTTATAATGACCGTTTCCGACATACCAACTTTTGAAGTCCCTCAAAGGCCTCTAACAAGATCGTTGTACTTCCGTAAGCAAAGATAACTCCCGCTCCCCCGATGTGTACCGTCGCCAGTTGAACTCTCGATCCTGACACTATAACACTTTAAACGGCAAGCTACCCACAGGCCCCAAAGTAGTTCTTTTTTGGGATTACCTTATAGGATTCTATATACGAACCCCCAAAAGGAACTACTTTGGTGCCTTTGGGTAGTAACTAGCTGATTCTTCAGCCCCTGGCCAAACCTTCAACCTGCATCCCGAAATGCCCAAACCCCTCAACGTTAAATTCGATGGCCTTAAACCCAAAGACCCTGAAACTCGGAGCTCATATAAGCCTTAAAAAACTTGAAACAGGCCTCAGTTGCGTTGCTTAGGTCCAAAGTGGCGGTGGAGAGGCTCGAACTCTCAAGGGGAACGGCATCCCCTCATATAGGGTTCACCTACTTCTCTAGGAGCTCAGATTTTTTGAAGGTTTTTGGAGGGCCCTAAACCCTAAACCCAAAACCCTAAACCCAAAACCCTAAACCCTAAACCCTAAACCCTATAAAGCTTCGAGCGGGTTGCTAGATGTGCTGCCTAAGCTGAGGCCTGCTAGGGCCTTGGAAGCCTTAGATGGCCCACTAGATTCCGATTATCGTATCCATACGGTTGATGATAGAAATCCTGCATTACCCATAATAAGGAATATACCATAAAACCCATAGTTTAGGGTCCTTAAGGTAATGCAGGATTCATACCATCAACCGTACCGCTACCTAATCCTGCAAACGCCTACTTACTAAGCCCCCAAGGAGCCGACAGTTAGCCGACAAGGGGGGAACAGTTCCAGGGATGCAGAGCCAGCCCACGGGAGCGGAGGGCTTCCGGGTTTAGGGGTGTACCCAAAGGCTCCAAAGTAGTTCCTTTTTAGGGTTACCTTATAGGATTCTAATTATGAATCCCAAAAAGGAACTACTATGGAGCCTATGGGTAGGGTTTAAGGGTTTTTGGGCTAAGGGTTTTTGGGGTTGGGGGTTTGGTGGGTTTCGGGGTGTGGTCAGAGCGAAACCTATGTGCCGGTACTACTGCCTATGCTCTCTTCAGAGGCCTGAAAAGAAGCATTTCATGCAAATTCAGTCAGTTCAAAACTGATTGTCTTCTGCAGATTATTCAGGGTATAAGCAGTGTCTAACGATTTTGTGTTAGGCAACCGTTGCGTTAGTGTCCTCGAATAGATTACATCGGCTGGCGGTAGCCCTCATTATACAACTTGGCAGCAGTTTGCATTATTGTGGGGTTGTCCTGCATATGACGGCGGCTTATTCTCGCCTCAATCGTTAGCCGTATCCTTTTTGCACAATAACTCGGTATTGTAGGAGTCGTTGGCTCTACAAACCCCGAAAGCAGTTTCTTTGGCTCTAAACTCTAAAGACCACAAGAGCCAAAAACCCCAACGCCCGAAAGCCATGCATCTGCAGGGGTTCCAAAGCACCGAATCCCCGCAAATTTACCAACCACGAGGACGGCCCATGTGTAAATCCAGGGCTTTGGGTTTGGGGTGCTGGCTTTAATTTTGGAAAGGGTTTTGTTCAGAGTTTGTTTAAAAGTTCATAAGGGGCTTTATGGCTGGAGAGGGCTGACAGTTGCCACTGGGTTTCGCGACTGGATTCGGCGCTGATTCGCCAATGCAGGACCCAAGCACCTAAGTATGGCTACCGAAGATCCAGTCGGTTTATCAGTATAACTGCAGGTACCCAGACGTTGTAGGGTTTAGGGTTCAGGGTTTTCTGCCCAAAGACATAAACCCGACAACCCCAAACCCGAACCTCCTAGACCCTGCGAGCCCTAAGCCCTCAACGCTGACGATTTCATGTATGCCCCGAAACTCCGAAAAGTGGGGCCAACGGCCAGAGGCGTGGATTGTAAGAGACTAGGGCTTGAAGCGTTTGGGGTGTCGGGGTGTTATAAGGGCTTAAGTTTTTTGGGACTTAGGTTTGAGGTGTTGCGGTTCGGGGATTTTGGGGTATACTTGGGTGCTTTTCGCCCAGTAGGACAGTAGGAATTTCTGGTGCTATCTCATGCTCGTGGGGCAGCCTCGCCGTCGCTTGCTGTGGATGCGTAGTCATGGTGAGATGTTAGGTACGGCCCCCCCTCAGTAATAGTTGAATAATCTTCATAATATAGATATATTATTAGGACCTTAATAGCAGCCCTATTATAGACCTCTTCAGTATGGGGGGCAGTACCTAAGTGAGATGCTTCTTTTGGATTTGGAGGGTTCGAGACTCCCGTGGGCCGGCAGGCCCACAGCATAAGACTTCTCTACTATTGAAGCGGAAAGATTCATATCCTAGATCCTAAAAAAGTCCTTGCACCCTAAAGGCTGAAATTACAAATCTCACGGCCTTATTCTCATTCTTGCTGTATTGTTGTTTGTTATTGTTTTTGCTACTGTTATCATTGCTACTATTCTTGTCGTTTAGTTTGATTGCTGTTATGTCTTCGTTTTATGGTTTATATTAGTGTTGTCAGTCTTTTGTGTGTGTGCGTGCTGTATATATATATATGCATATATTAATAATATTGTATGTGTTGTTTTTTTTTTTTTAAGTCGTCGTCTGTTCTTGTTTACTGTTTCGTTTGTTGCTTGAGTATTGATTCATAGATGGTTTTGAAATGTTTGTAGTTTTCCATGTAGGGCTTCTGGGTGAGGAGCTTCTAGCGTTAAACGCTCAAATCTGGCGGGGGGGGGAGAAGCCAAGAAACTCCCTTGAACCCCTATACCCTCAACCCCTAAACCCCTAAACCCTAAACCCACAAACCCATAAACTTCAGGACCCTCGCTGGGAGAAGGTGAAGTGCGCTGCGCAGGTGCAAGTTAGTCCAAAGCTGCTTTCATGTGCTCTCTGAATCATGAACCCTAAACTCCGAACCTTACATCATGAAGCCGAAGCCCTAAGCCCGGTTAGTCAACCTACGCCTCAACTCTGAATGAAGACGAATGCAACAGTTACTTCCATAGTATACTTGATTGTTTTGCGGCCCTGATTCATGCTCGGCAGCTGTAGGCAGCAAGGTGAAAGTCCAAAATTAGTGGGATGATGCTTTCAGTAGCACTGCCACGACAGAAATTAAGCGACATACTTGTTATGTCCCAGAGACCAAGTGCCTTAACATGGCAGTGTGTCAGGGTAAAAATACAAGTACATAAAAGCAAAGAATGTATACAGTTATACATTATGTATATATATATGTATACATAATGCCGAAGGCATTTGGACTACTAAACTTTCAGCTCATAAGCATTGAGATAGTTACCCCGAGCCCCAGTACCCACCCCCCAAACATTCAATCCTGCGTCCGACAATCTGTAAAGTTTCTGCGCGAGCGGAAGCGCGACCGTCCCATGGCAAGATTGGTCTCGGCTGCTTCCTTTGTTGTGGCATGGCTGCAAAAGAGTTTCGGGCATAGGGGGTTTACAAATCTACAGTTCAAGGTTTTCGGGCCCAAGGGCTACAGTAGAAATGGCTGTTGGGCTACCGTAGCCGGACGATAAGGATGCAAACGCCCAAATACTAAACCCTAAACCCCAAACCCCGAAACCACTAAACCGCTACACCGTAGTAGGGCCTCGCATTCGTGAACCAAATTCTTGCTTTCATGTTCGGAGCAGCTCTAGGCGAATTAATTGCAACCGTCAATTAGAAGAGGGTTTTGGTGCATACTCTACAAGCATAATAAGGAGCACAGTATTGGTAATTACTGTCGCAACTCCGACCACTTCTTGCGCGCCTGGATACTCCCACACGCTAAGCTACAAACCCTTGAAGCCCTTAAGGCCCTAACCCAGTCTCTGCAATCCTAACCCCCCCCCACCACCACCAAATGCTCCACCCCGAATCCTAATCTGTCAAGCCTGAACTCTGCAGCTCTAAACCCAACAACAAAAAGCGGGCTATGAAGTGGTGAAAAAGCTGAAGGAATTCAAAACAACCCTTGAAGAACTGGCTGCTTCGCACTGTCAGCATTCCAAATCCTCAGCTTTAAAGCGCCACGCCCTAAACCCTCAACCCTCATCCCTGAAGCCTCAAGAATATACATAATGCAAGTGAAAACCAGACCTCAAAGCTCCATCAACCCTAAACCGAATGGCTTCCCGAGGCCTGTGCATGGACGTTTCCCTCTCTTGGCCGGCAGCTTAGGGCGGAGTGGTGAGGGTTTTGGTGGTTTCTTTCACTCTGCGGGAGATCAGCGTTTCAGGGTTTAGGGGGACGAAGATTGTTGAAAAGCTTCCTTTAACGATGCCGAGATATGTTCAATCAGCACCCCAAAACCAAACACCCTGCGCCCAGCTCCACGTCCCTACACCTCCACCTCTATGCCCGAAAAGGCCGTAAAACCCCAGCACCGTATAGAACCTTGATGAAGTTTCATAGCCAAGTTAGGGAACCCTTACGGACGCCTTAAAGGACCGCAGCTCATACTATAGCGGCCTTCATAATTACAATAGGGTTTGGGGGGTGTCGTATAATATCCCCCCAACCCTATTCTACCTATTAAGGCCCCTACATTAAGCAGCGGCTTGCGGTGCCAAGGTGACACCTGCCAGGCCAGCTGGATTATGTCGGTTCCTTCTTCGAGTGACGAACTCCACCGGATTTTTGGGGCTTAGTTTAAAGGTTTCAGGGCTTCGGGGTGAAGGGTTCATGAGTTTTGGGCTTTACGGCTTCAGGGGTTGGAGTTTAGAGTAGGCTATCCAGCAGAGGTGAACGGTCCAGTTCTTGACAGGTCCTGTGCACTGCAGCCAAAACCCGAAGCCCTTGCGCCAAAGCAGAGAGGGTCGTAAGCTGAGTTTGCCGTAGAGAGCCCACGCACTATCGCCTTAATACTTCAACAACAACACAAAGCCTGCAAGGGTTCTAGAAGGGTCCCGTACCACAGGGGCATCGGGGGATTTAGGGCGAGGGTCCTTGGTATATCATTGGGTCCGGTATCTCCGAACCATGGATCTCTTTGAAAGAGCAGTCTGTGTTTTCACCCATAGGCTCCATAGTAGTTCCTTTTCGGGATTACCTTATAGGATTCTAAATATGATCCCCAAAAAGGAACTACTATGGAGCCTCTAAGCAGGGCCCCAAAAGGATTGAGGACCATGGGAGTAAAGTGTTCGAATTTTGGGTCTTGGCTCCAGGAGTTGTGGCTTCAAGGCTTCAGGGGGGTGTCAGTGTTGGAGCATTTTTTCGAGGTCAGGTTTTAACGCATGGTACCCGGCAAAAGCATCCGATTACTACGCAGCCTGACATGTGGGTGGTTGTCAATATTATAGGGTCCCTTTTTGGGTCCTTATTATAATACGGCACCTAATATTTAGGGTACCCCAAAAAGGGGCCATAATTTTGACCACCACCCATGTCCACGCAGGAGTGCTGGGAGAGTTCCAGGATGGAGCTTCTTCAGCGAAAGGCGTCGCTGTCATCACGCAGGCCCCATGTGCTCCCTAGCTTTAAACTGCTTGATAAGTGTGTTTTTTTTTTCGGAGGGCCTGGAGTCCATAGTTCTGACAGTTTAAGTTTAGAGTTCAGAGTATAGAATACTTGTAGCAGAAATACAAACCTACCTCGACTCTTATGAGATACATATATGTTGTAAGAACTGAGCTGCCTCAACCGTATACGCACCTCAGGCCCTGTAATTGCCGGTAGCCGCACACCAACTTGAGGCTCCTCTTCGTTGCGGATGATGTCGGCTGGGCTGGCCTGGGCGCACATCGAACCGCCAGAAACGCAGCAGAGGCGCAGGGGAAGGCAGAGACACTGACTCCCAACTTGGATGCTTCTGGGCATCTGTTAATTAGAGCTAAGGATCCAGAGCACACAAACAAGTTCGGTAATTGTTTTTTTTGCGATAGTGGTGACAGCGATAGAGGTTGGCGTTTGGTAGAGTGTATGACACGTGGGTTCTTGGACCTTGAGTTAAAGAACCAAGTTCCAGCCATCGTTTGAGCATGCTAGTAGCTCTTTGCTTCTGTCTTAAAGGTTCATCTACATTTAAGTCTATGCTGTTTCTTTACACTGCCTTGGGCGCTAGTCGCATCCCGCTGGCGACGGCAACTTAAGGCTAGACCTTACTTACGCTGTTTTCTTAAATCAAGTATCCGAAGAGTGAAGCCACCTACACCCTACCCACAGGCCCCAAAGTAGTTCCCTTTTGGGATTACCTTCTAGGATTCTATATATGAACCCCAAAAAAGAACTACTTTGCGGCCTTAGGGTAAACCCTAAGCCACCTAAACGCAACACCGCAGCGAGAATCCAGGCTTTGGTTGAGCGAGGCATCCTTCTGGAGCGACATTACGCTTCCTCCTCATCTGGGCCGTCGAGGCATGGGGTTTAGGGTTTATAAGTTTAGGGTTTTACTGCCCCCACTCAGTAAGAGTTGGATAATATTCAGAATACAGATAGATTAGGACCTGAATAGTAGCATGGGGGCAGTACACAAGATATACTTCTTTTTGCGACGACTTTGTTGGTGGGCCTGGGGGTGGTTTAGAGTTTAGGGTTTAAGGTGAGGGTCAGGGGTTCCTGAAGGGTTTCATGACGGTTCGGAAAGGCCTTTTTGGGGTTGTGCAGGTCCAAAGTAATTACCTCATAGTTTTGTATAGGAGTTTGGGCTACACTGGCTAACCTACACTAGAAACTACTTGTAGTCGTTTGTAGTGTAGGTTAGCATTTTGAGGAGTACAAATATGCCAAGCTAGTCACGGAGCTTGGGCTCCTCCTGAGTAGGATCTGCTTAGTACAGGGAAGTGTATTCCCTAAACCCACCTAGACCCTAAACCCCAAAAGCTACACCCTAAGCCCTAAACCCCTAAACCCTAAACCCAGAATGCCCATAAACCCTGAAACCCCAAAAACCTAAAGCCTAAACCGCCCTGAATGGTGCCCTGGAAATTCAAGGAAAACTGCTCAGGTGCTCTCTCATCAGCGGCCGTCTGCCTCATCATTTTCCCCCTCGTCCTCCAGGCATTTCCACCACCCACATGTTCTGGAACCCAGCAGACAACGTCTCCGGCTTCTATGGTATTCCTCGCAATATGACCGGCATCGGACGGAAACTGAAGGAGGGCATTCATGTGGGTACGCCTTAATTATTAGAATAGGGCTTTGGAGGTCCTTGTGTGTAGTACGATATACCCCCAAAAGGACCCTACCCCTCCCCCAGCCTTATTCAATTGATTAAGCCCCCAGGTAGGTCACTTGGGTATTCTATCTTTTCCCCGTTTGGGGCTGGGAGCTGGGATCCGACCTAGTACCCTAAATCTTTAATCTGATCTGATCTAAGATTTTTCAGAGGCTTTAGAGATTTTTTGCAAAAAACAGATCTAAGATTGTTCAGAGGCTTTAGAGAGCAAACCCTGTCTGCCCCCCGATGACTCGATGCCTAGGTGCTTTGTGCTTTGAGGGTTTAGGGTGCAGGTTTGATTAGTGGAAGCTTAGCTTGTATGTATGCTAACTAAATCAGGTACTTGGACCCTGGAGGTATCCTGATTCCTTATACCCAGACCGTGAGCCTGAACCTTGCGCTAAACCCTAAAACCCTACGCCACTAAACCCAACGCCCCCTAAACCCTGCACCGTAGGATGCCGGCTACTCGACACACTTCCTGGGTAAGTGGGACGCTGGCATGGCGACGCCTGAGCATACGCCGACCTCTTGCTGGCATTTGGGGTTTAGGGTTTAGGTTTTAGGGGCAAGGGCGGGGTTAGGGATTTTAGGGAGTTTAGGGTTCTATGTGTCATGTAATGAACACATTGGTACGTTACTCATTAAGCTTCCCCGTAACCTCTAGACTCTAGAACATGGGCGACTAT